CCCCTGACCTAGCCTGATTCCTGTCCTCAGGCTGACCCTGGCCCCGTTTGACCCCTGACCTAGCCTGATTCCTGTCCTCGGGCTGACCCTGGCCCCAAAATGAGTACCCCTTCCCCTGTTGGGGCTCTCTCAGTGCCTCCCTGCGACAGGTTCCTCATCTCCCCGTGGACAGGTGACCTGCACTCTGGCTGGGTCTGGGGGTGAGGGGTCAGCGGCGGGCAGGCCTGTAGTCCCAGCTGTGCCTTCTCCAGGTGTGTCTCATCGGGGACTGTGTGGGGGGCCTCCTGGCCTTCGATGCCATCTGTTACAGTGCGGGGCCCGCGGGTGACAGCCCTGGCAGCAGCAGCCGGAAGGGGAGCATCAGCAGCACCCAGGTGCGGGCCAGGTGGTGGGGATGGCGGGGGGTCTGCCCTTGGGAGCTGCCCCCAGTCCCAGGGGAGCAGGGGCCTCTCTGGGGGAGGTAGTCTTAGCCCTAAACACCTGTAACAGTAATATCCAGGTTACAAAGTATTTATCACATCCTACAAGACTAGCAAGAGACTGTTATCACAGGGGAGGAAGTTGAGGCCCAGAGAGGGCTAATTTAGGGTTGGGTCCCGGGGCAGCTGTCCAGAGTCCCCCTGGATCGCCTTGTGGATGCAGGAGACAGCCCTGTGCCCAAAACCCCACCATTCCCGTGTCGTGGCTTCCACACTCCTTTTGGAAGAGGTATTTCCTCTCACATCTAGGAGAAAGGGGCTCCTTTTCCTGGGAGGGGCAGGGCCCAGACTTTCCGGGGACCGCAGCGCCCCCCTGTCCTCTCCCTGGCCCCAAGGACAGCCTGCTTGTGGCGGAGGAGGAGCGCAGCCTGGCCGGCAGCAAGCGTCTCAGCAAGAGCAGCATTGACGTCTCCAGCGTGCTGGAGGATGAGGAGCCCACGAGGCCGTTGCCACGGAAACAGAGCGACTCCTCCACCTATGACTGTGAGGCCATCACTCAGCATCATGCCTTCCTGTCAAGGTAACCGCGCCCTGTGCCCCACCTTCCTTCCTGCACAGCGTCCAGGGGAGAGAGGACCTCGGCTCAGAGTCAGCTGCGAGGGCTGGGACCACTCGTATGCCCCGGGCCCTTCCATGGGGCCCAGAGACAAGCACTGAGATGCTGAGTCCAAGGCCACTCCCGGTGGGCCCTGCACCGAGACCCGGGACCCTGCGCTCTGTCCCTGCTCCACCCTGACATGCAGAGAGACGGGACAATGCGTGTCACCTCTCCGAGCCTCAGCTTTGTCTTCTGCAAGAGGGTGAACGCTGCCCAGCCTCCTGCACTAGTGAAAGAACAGATGTGGCTGTGCTGTGTCAGCTGCTCCTGGTGTGTGTTCTTATTATTTCGCAGATGGGGCAGCAGAGGCTGAGGAGGTCAGGAACTTTCCTGGGATCACACAGCCAGTTACCGGCGAGCGGGGGCCGGCATTCTGGCCTCCCAATCCCCAGTACACAACACACTTTTATTCGTAGCCCAGGCAGGTCCCTCCACGGAAGGTTCACCCTTTAACTTTCTAGAAGAGCCATGTTATTCGACACTGGCTAAGTGAATTAGCTGCACATTTATTCAGGATACAAATGGGTATTGGACCTAGACCCAAATTGGAAGGAGTGCCTCTTTTCCTCTTCCCTTTTTCCTCAATTCATTCCTCCCTTCCTTCTTACCCAGTGATGAGTATCCTGAGGTCGTTACAACATTTGCAAAACAGATCATCTTACCACCCAGAGGGAACCACGGCTAGCACGTTGGAGTATTTCCTTTTATTATACTTTTTGACATGCTGTGCGTATAGTTTTACTTTTAAAAAAGACTTTTATATTGTGAGCTTTTCCCCCTATAATTAAAAATCCTTGGTAAATATTTTTAATAATATTTATTCAGTGAATGGACAGCGTCTTAATCCCAGTAACTGGACACTTTGGCTTTTTCCAGTTCTTTGCGCTCCGGGGAATATTTCTGTGCATAAACATTTGTGTATGTATTAGGGTTATTTCGTCCGGATGGACTCCTGGAAGAGGACTTCTTAGGTCAAAGGCTCTGCATATTTAAATCTCTGACTATTTAAAGCCCCTCTGACAGATTATTCTTTAGAAAAACCTCTACATTTCAAGTCTGGGTTACAACGTGAAATCTCCACATTTCTGGTTCGTCCTTGAAAAATCCCGTAAGAGAGCCCCACGTTTGGAAAGTGACAAGGAGTTGGAGGCTTTTGGTAGCTGATCCAACACAGCCAGCTTTTCCTGCTGGTGGAGGGACAGGTGGCTGTTTCTTTGGTGATTAAGTAGTTGGTGTGTGGTTGGGGACTATGCTGTACAGGAAGTATGTATTACACACAGAGTCGGGATCCTCGTGGCGAGATGCTCACACCTCGAGGGGCAGAAGGAAGTGTGTGGATTCAGATTCAACTTTCCGGACCCTCACTCACAGAGAGTTGGGGACTTGCCCACACAATTCAGTCATTGTTTCCAAAATTCCACTTCTCCTCCAACTTGAGTATTTTTGTTGAATTTGCATTCAGTTAATTGATTCATAGGTCATGTGATCCCACTGGATCGTCTTAAACTCTGAGCTATACCTAAATGCCAGCTGGAAGGTCAGGGAGGTGCCCAGCTTTCCTGCCCACTCTGAGTCTGTGGCTACACATCATCCACTCGGACTCTTTGGGGCAATGAAAGCCTGGGATGGGAATAGTTGCAATTCTGTGTGTCTCGTGTTTTCCTTTTTAAGCTCTGCTTCGTCTGCAGGCTGGAGGGGAGGGAAGACCAAGCTGTTTGCATCTGTGTCTGCGGGTTGTCTGGAACATGAGTTACAATGAAAGCCCTAATCCTGGCAGGAGCAACATCGTCCAGCTGGGCTGTGTATTAGCCAAGCTGGGCTTCTCTGCTAGATGGTGCAGGATTTCACAGTGTGCCCATCACAGAGCCAGCACGAGGGGGCAGGCCCGCCACCACGTAGGATGCTTAGGTGTCCTCAGCCCATTTCAATAAGTCAAGTTTTACTGGATCACGGCCACGTGTATTTGTTCAAGTATCGTCTATGGCTGCTTGCTACAATGGCAGCGTTGAGTAGACGTGATAGAGACCATATGGTCCCCAAAGTCTAAAGTATTTACCATCTGGCCCTTTACAGAAAAAGTTGGCCGACCCCTGCCTGAGCCAAGCCTTGGTGGCCAATGCTGAGATGGTCGCCAACGTGTGCTGATGGTGTCTGGCAAGTGGTTGCGGGTTCTGAGCCCTGCCCCAGAGATGGGTGCTGCCCTGCTGAGTGAGCTCCCACACCCTCGGTCCTCCCTAACCTGTGCTCCCGTGTCTTCTTCCCTCCGGCAGCATCCACTCGAGCGTGCTGAAGGATGAGGCTGAGCCCCCTGCAGCCGGGGGGCCCCAGCTCCCCGAGGTCAGCCTGGGCCGCTTGGATTTCGATGTGTCTGACTTCTTCCTCTTCGGCTCGCCCCTGGGCCTGGTCCTGGCCATGCGGAGGACGGTGCTGCCTGGGCTGGACGGTGGGTGTGTGGCAGGCTAGGCCTGAGATAGCTTTGTGTCACTCGGTCACTGTGTCAGGGCCTCAACTTGGGGAGAGTGAGGGTGGGGGACAGGGGCAGGAAGGGTCGGGGAGTCGGGGTAGATGGAGAGAGAGGAGAGGAGTCAGAAGGAGGGGAGAGGAGGGACAGTGGGGCAGACCCCCAGATGGGGCAGAGGAGAGGCAGCCCCGGGGGGATTTCACTGTCCCTGTCACATGCCCCGGGCTGATTTGTGGTCCTATTGTCCTGTTGTCAGACCCTATGGGAAGAGAAACCATAAATATTTACCCTATTTCACCCCACCCCTCCTTCCCCAGTGCCCAGGCAGACCCCCTGCAGCCAGGTCGGCTTACTGACCCCTGCATAGACCTGAGCCCACCTCCACGCCTTTGCTCACGCAGTACCCGCAGCCTTGAGTGCCTCCTCCCATTCCTCTAAGATACACACCGAGGCCATTTGCACCAGCGGGTGGGTTAGCAATGATGCGAGGACACGAGAGGCTCGAGGCACCTTGGGATCAACAGGTCAAGGCTTCTCAAACTTCTGCATCAAAGCTCACCAACAAATTGCAATACGGAACAGTTGAGAAGGGAGGGTCTCTGCTTGAAGTGGGGAGAGGAGGCAGAACCCCACGGCTGCCCTTAATGTCACTAAGGAACACTAGGGCACCGTGGGTGCTGGACCCGCCAGTCCCCTGACCTGGAGCGACAGGGAGGCACACTGAGGCCTCAGTGGAGACACCTGCTGGTCAGGGAGAGAAGTGTATTGCCAGCTCTAGTAAACCACCAACTCCGATGATCCCCAGGCCCAGGAATTGAGTGGGGCCAGAGGCAGCGGCCGCTGCTCCTGACTGAAGGGCCTGGGTCGGCTTCATAGATCTAGTAGCAACTAAGCAAAAGCTGGAAGAATTTAAAGGAGTTTGACCTGTGGAAATAGTGGAGGGAGGGCCTGCCAGGAGGAGGAGACAGCTTGAGCAAAGGGACAGGGACAGGAGAGCAGCAGCCTGGTCGAGGAGCTGCAGCTGTCCACCATGGCTGCAGTGCTGGGTGCCTACAGCACTGCTCCCGAGTGGGACAGGTTGGCAAGGCCTTGAGTGCCAAACTGAACATAATGGCTTTGAGCCTGTGGGTAATAGGGAGCCATAGCAGCTTCTTGAGCAGAGGAGTAGGCTATGCAAAACTGCACTCAGGGGAGCCATACAGGCCAACGGTTCTAGCAAGGGGCCTCCTCTGTGTATCCTCCCACCCCCCAGGTTTCCAGGTGCGTCCTGCCTGCAGCCAGGTCTACAGCTTCTTCCACTGTGCAGACCCCTCTGCCTCACGGCTCGAGCCACTGCTGGAGCCCAGGTTCCACCTGGTGCCGCCCGTCAGCGTGCCCCGCTACCAGAGGTTCCCACTGGGCGATGGACAGTCCCTCCTCCTCGGTAGGCTCTCGGGGGTGGGAGAGAGTGTGCTGGGCTGGAGGTTGGGCCCCAGCCAGGCGGCACTCGAGGACCACCCTCTCCAGTCCAGTCCCTCCAAGCTGGCAGCTGAGGGAGTGACTAGACTCAGCAGAGCAGGGTCTGTGTGCTCTTGGGGGAGAGGAGAACAGGAAAACAGCTGACTCACCTGCCTTCCGAGTGGCCCACCTGTGCGAGCACCTGCTCTGTAGGAGCCATCCTGGGGCTCAGAGACTCAGGCTCTGCCCCCAACAAGCTCGCCCCGGCTAAGCTCCTGTGACCGGGGCCAGCATGATGCTTGAGCTGTCAGACCTGATTCCAAGTCCAGGGATCCCTGCTGAGTGCTGTTCCCCAGTGCCCAGCCTGGACTCTGGAGGTGCAGGGCAGGGAGTGTCTCATCCTGGTGGGCTTCACGGAAGAGGGGGCCTTTGGCCAAGGCGTTTGAGCAGGTGGAAAACAGTGGGAGCATGGGGGTTCGGGGGATCTTCTAGGTGGAGGGAACAGCAGCAGCAAAGGCAGGTGGGTTTGGGGAAAAGCCAGTGGACTCCAGGGCTCACGTGGGGTGAGCAGGGCATGGACTGGGGCGTGGTCAAGGGGAGGCCGGTGACGTACAGTCAGGGGCTTGGAGATCAGGTCAGAGGAGGTTTAGCCAGAGCCTGTTCCGGGGTTTGGGCCAGATTGTGGGGGGAGCGCTGTGCATGTGGCTTATTCAGGGTTAAAAACCAGCCTCACCCACTTCAATGGAAACTTAATTTCCACAGTCCTGCTTTGTCAGGAGCTCCCAGAGATGGAAGAGGCTCTGAAACCTCTGCCATCCTGAAATGTGTCCCTCTTTGGTCAGGGCCTCCCCCTGCCCCCAGAGGGCGCTCTAGCTCCCAGGGAGTCCCCAGTCTCTCCCAGGCTCCACCACAACCCTTTGTGGCCCAGGAGAGGAGTTTGATACAAGAGCACGTGGTTGCGGGTCACCCCGTCACAGACCTCAGCTGTGCTTTTGGGGGCAATCCCCCAGAGGCACCCTTGGCAGCAGGGGGTGGGGGTGATGGTTGGGACCCCAGCTCGTCCTGGCATAACTCATAACTTAGAGGAGGAGAAACCCAAGGATGCACTACGACGGAGTCTGGCCAGGCCCTGGAGGAGTGACAGGTGCAGGTTGCCCATTGGCAGGTGAGGGAGCAGGGCCAGGCTGGCTCCTCTCTGAGCGCCCAGCCTCCCGCCCAGCATGGGCTGGCACGGTGTGTGGGCTCTGCTTGAGTCATACTACTCGGCCCTGACTGTGAAATTCCCCTCCAGCCGATGCCCTGCACACCCACAGCTCCCTCTTCCTGGAGGGCAGCTCCCAGGGCAGCCCACCGCTTCTCGACGCCCCTGCCTCGCCCCCTCAGGCCCCGAGGTCCCAGCGCCTGGGACGGAGGATGAGCCAGGGCAGCTCCCACAGCGAGAGCTCAGAGTCCTCGGACAGCCTGGCACCCGTGGGCGCCTCCCGCAGTGAGTGAGGGTCTTCGGGGGCCCTGCCTGGATGAGAGGGAGAGGGACCTTGCTCTGGGTGGCCGCTGGTCCACCGCCAGGGCTGCAGAGGGCAGGGGAGAAGGGGTAAAGAAAATCTAGACTGAACTCTGACCTCAGAGAGAACTTTGACCTCTGACCCTGGACAAGGCCCTGACCTCCCACCATGGGCCGAGCCATGACCTCTCGAGGCCTAGACTGAGCTCTGACCTCAGCCCGAGCCCTAGTCCCAGCATTCAGTTTTCCCACTGGGAGTCCCTGCTGACCAGTGGCCCTGGGTGAGACAGTGGGCGTCTCCACGGGTCTCACTCCCGAGGCCAGTTTTCAGCACGCGTCTTAGAGGAGGGGTGCGGGGCGAAGGGGCTGTGGGTTGTGAGAAGGTGGGAGGAGGAGCCGCACGTCCCCCCAGAGCTCACTTCAAGCTGGGCACTCTGGCCCCAAACTCGTGCCCTGAATGGCCCATCCACCACTGGGTCTGTGCAGAGGGGTCCCGCGCCCCCCCTTGGGTCAACGCCCCAGGCAGGCCACTCTGTCCTCACCTCCCTCTCGGACCTGCAGTCACGGCCAAGTGGTGGGGCGCCAAGCGCATCGACTACGCCCTGTACTGCCCGGATGTCCTCACAGCCTTCCCCACGGTGGCACTGCCCCACCTCTTCCACGCCAGCTACTGGGAGTCCACGGACGTGGTGGCCTTCATCCTGAGACAGGTACTGCTGCCCCTTCCTGGGCCCTGCCCCCAGGGCACCTCTGGGGGGTCCCATCCGTTTATGTCTGGAGAAGAGCCTTGCTTTGTGGGCCATTGGGAAGGCATTGGAGCACTTAGCCAAGTCGGGGGTGGCACGGTCAGATGATGGGTTTTATAAAGAACACTGGCTTCTGGCTAATGATATGGTACTTTCTAGAAAGTTAAATAGAAATTACATGGGAGAATGTACCCATGTGTCAGCTTGGAGACTGGAGTAATAAATGCCTGCTCCCCTGTGGGTCTCAGTGTCCTCATCTGTCACCTAGATGGGGGAGCAGAGAGGCAGTGACTGAGGGAGCGTCTGGGGAAAGGAGGGTGGGAGGTGGGTGGGGGTCGGATCACGTGCAGCCTTGATGGCCAAGGTCAGGAGTTTGATTTTATGCTGGGTCTGATGAGGAGCCACTGCAGGGTTTTGAGCAAAGGAGAGATTAACTGACTTGTATTTTTAGAAGCATGAGGCCCATTATGAGGCAAGTAGAGGAGCCCACCTTCTAGACGGCAGCTTGGGCTAGGATCCTGGTGGAGGAGGTGCTGAAGGGCAGCTGGACTTGTTGTGGTGACAGGCCCTGCTGATGTCTGGGGGTGAGGGAAAGGGGAGAATCCAGCGGGTCCTGTTTTCCACTTGAGTAGCTCTGGCGGTTCCATGCCGTAGGGCGGGGAGGAGCAGGGCTGGGCCGGGCTGGGCTGGGGGACACTGAGTCTTGGATCTGGACCTGGGGAGTGTGAGGTGCCTGTTGGACATTGGGAAGGCAGGTGAGCAGAGAGTCCAGAGCTGGGGGAAAATGTCAGGCTTAGAGAGAAATGTGGGGTCATCAGAGCTTGGATGGCGTTCAAAGCCAGCGTCGGGTGCGACACTCTGACCCTGACACCAGGTCCAGCGTGTGGGTTTTCCCCACACCACGCAGTTCTCTGGCACCAGCTGGGTGTCCGACAGTTCAACTCAGTTCTGACACTGTCTACCTGGAGACGGCGTCAGGTTCCACAGGTTAAGGGCTCAGACCCTCTGCACCCCTCCCAATTCAGATGCTAATCGCACGTCCAGGTTGTCACCTGGGCTTCTGACCAACTAGCTGTAGACTGGAGGTTCCCATGACCCCCTCCCTGGGTTTGATTAACTTGCTAGAGTTGCTCACAGAACTCAGAGAAACAGTTTACTGTTGCAAAGGATATAACTCAGGCACAGCCGGATGGAAGAGATGCACAGGGAAGGTGTGGGGAAAGGACCTGAGCTTCCCTGCCCTCCCCGAGGGCACCACTCTCCCCAGATCTCCACGTGCTCCCCAACCCGGAAGCTCTCTGAATCCTGTCCTTTTGGGTTTTGTGGAGGCTTCATTACTTAGGCACGATTGGTTAAACCGTTGGCCCCTGGCAGCTGATCCAGCCTCCAGCCCCTCTCCCCTCGCGGACGTCAGCTTGGGCCCGGAGGGCAGAGCATTTGGGAGACGGTGGTCTGGCCCCGCCGTCAGGACAGGCGGGCAGGGAGATGGGTCCTGGGGCCTCCAGCCTCCTGAGGGTTCCAGGCTGGGAGGTGGGGAGGCTTGAGGAGGGCCCCGCCGGCCACAAGCTGGCGGGCCCTGATGCCCTGGGCAGGAGGGAGAGGGGTCAGGACGGCCTGATCCTGCCCTGCTGTTACCAGGTGATGCGCTACGAGAGCGCGAACGTCAAGGAGAGCACTGGCTTGGATCCTGCAGCGCTGAGCCCCGCTAACCCCCGTGAGAAGTGGCTTCGTAAGAGGACCCAGGTCAAGTTGCGGGTATGTGCAGGCTGGAGTTGCATATGGGTTGGGACTGTGGCCTCAGGGAGGTGAGGCTGCCCCTGGGGGCTTGGGTGTCCACCCGGCAGGTAAGGCCTTCATTTAGGCCTCAGAGATTCGTGCTCACACAGGCGGGGATTCATGCTTAGACGAGGCCCACGGCGCTGCAGTGGGGCAGGCTAGGGGCTGGGGAGTGTGAGATGGGGGAGCTGGTTCCCCCTGGCCTGGCTTCACAGGAGCACCAAGGGTGGGCTGTCCAGGGCACTGGGGATGGTGAGGAGATGCCAGTTATGGAGCAATTGCTACACGCCAGGCCTCTGTAGATGTGGATGTGAATCAGAAAGAGTCCCACCCACAACCACGGGGCTCACAGTCTGATTCATCTGGTGTGGTATTTGCCATGACAGAGGGAGGCACAGATTAGGAAGAAGATGGAGAGAAGAATTGTCAGGGCAGGCCATGCAGCGCTTCCCTGAAGAAGAGTCAATTTTGTAAGGTATTGAAGTATGAATAGGAGTTCAGTATGCATACATTCATTCATTTACTCAGCCAACAATCCTCAGTGCCCATTGTGTCCCAGGCCTTGTGGCTGGGGAGTGGAGCATAGGGATCTACAGACAGAACCACGGCTATGATGGGCACTTCCAGTCTGGTGGGAACATCAGACAAGGACCCCAAGAACAGTCCTGAAAGGTAGAAGGTGATCAGTGCTCCACGAATCAACTCCTTCTTTGTAAACGTATTTATTGAGCTATAACCACATTTTATACAATTCACCCACTTAAAGTATATAATTCAGTGGATTTTAGTGTATTCACAGATGTGTGCAACCATCACCACAGTCAATTTTAAAACATTTTCATCACCTCAAAAAGATGTTCCTTACCCTTTAACTATCATCCCCTTACCCCCATCCCCCCAGCCCTAAGCAGTCAGTAATCTACTTTCTGTCTAAGTAGATTTGCCTATTCTGGACATTTCATAAAATGGAATCATACACTATGTTGTCTTTTGTGCCTGGCTTCATTCACTTAGTGTAATGTTTTCAAGGTTTATCCATGTTGTAGCACATGTCAATACTTCATTCCTTTTTATGGCTGAATAATATTCCACTGTATGGACATACCACATTTTGTTTATCCATTCTTCAGTTGTTGGATATTTGGGTTGTTTCCGCCTTTTGTCTATTATGAATAATGCTGCTGTAAATATTGGTGCATAAATTTTGTGTGGACATGTGTTTTCATTTCTCTTGGGTGTATATCTAGGAGTGGAATTGCTGGATCAAACGGTAACTCTAGTTTAATTATTTGGGGAACTGCTAAACTTTTCTAAGGCAGCTGCACCATTTTACATTCCCACCAGCAGTGTATGAGGTTCCAATTTCTCCACATCCTCACCAACTCTTGTTGTTATGTCTCTTTGATTCCAGTCCTCCTAGTGGGTGTGACATGGTGTCTCACTGTGGTTTAGATTTGCATTTCCCTGATGACTAGTGACGTGGAGCATCTTTCCATGTGTTTATTTCCATGAATCAACTCTTCCCTCTCCAGTGTTCTTGTAGGGGGCCTGTGTCCCGCACTTGACTGTCTCTGGGTCAGGATCCATGACTGGTCCCTCTCTGCGTCCCCAGAGCCCAGCTCAGGGACCAGTGCAGATGAGGTGCCTGCAAATATTTGTTGAATTGAACTAAATACTGTGGGGACTGAGAGGAGGTAGAGACCGTCTTTGGGGAGTCGGAGGGGACAAAGTTGTCAGGTCAGAGTGGATGGGCTGGAATGTGGGGGCAGAGGGTCAGGGATTGCATGGAGAGTAGGGGGACCAGTGTGAGCACAGGCCTGGAGGCCCTGCAGAGCCTGGCCTGCAAGGACCAGAGGGGTTTAGAAGGGGAACAGCAGGAGACAGATTGAAAAGGTTGCCCAGGTAAGGCTTGACCCTGAGCTCAGGATTCAGACTTCATCCAGAAGGCACCGGGTGTTAACAGATCAGTGCTTTATAAAGACAATGGATCTGCCGTGGGGTCTGTTTTTGAATAGGAGCTCCATTGAGAAGCTATTAGCAGAGTCCAAACGAGAGGTAATGCAGGTGTGGGGAGAGCAGGGAGTGTACAGGAAGGGGCATCCGGTTACATGGTTTGGGTCTTGAAGCCAGGCTGGGGGCAGTGGGCGGTTGGGGCCAGCCAAGGCCTTTGAGCTGCGGAATGAATTGAAACCAGAGTGAAGAAAGATGGGGATGTTGGGAAGGTAGAAACAAAATGATGCAATGTCCAGGATTGCTCCAAAATAATCTGGGGTGGGGTGGGGTGGGGTGGGGTGTTCTGCAAGGGCAGAAGGAAACCATTCTGGTGCTGACTAAGCCATGGAGCTGGGGCCAGGCACATGGGAATCGTTACCCCATTCTCTCTACTCTTGTACGTTGGAAATCTCCAACTCAGAAAAGACGGGTGGTAAATGGCCGTTGGACATGGGCTATGATGTGGAAGGACAGACTGAAGGTGACCCGGCAGTTTCCAGCCTGGGACGCTAGGAGAGGGACAGGCTGTGTGGACTGGCTATTACCCCAGGGCCGTGGGGCAGAATCGAGAGCAGAGAATGCTCGCCTGCAGGAACCCCAGTGCTGCCTCGAGACAGCGTGAGGGTCAAAGGGTCTGTTTTCCTCGTGGGTTCCCAGGGAACACATCTCGGAAACTCTACCAGAAGTTAATAGGAAGGCACGATTCAGCAGGTCCACACCCCGCAGCTAATCCTAAGGACAATATAATGAAAAGCAAGGTCAAGCCCCCCTTACAAGGTTGAGCTGGTTTCTGTCATTCCAGAACGTCACTGCTAACCACCGGGCCAACGACGTGATTGCTGCCGAGGACGGCCCCCAGGTCCTGGTGGGGCGGTTCATGTACGGGCCCCTCGACATGGTGGCTCTCACCGGAGAGAAGGTATTGCAGGCTGGGCCATCCCCTCCTCGGCTGGGCCCTCACACACCAGGTGCCTCATGGTACCACATGGCACGTGGGCCGAGGGCTCAGTGTGGGCAGAGCTGTGCGTGGTGGGAGCACGGGGCAGGGAGACACTGGTCCTGCCAGGCAGGTCAGGGAAGGCAAGCAAGGAGAGAGGGATGAGCTTGGTGTTGTTGGGGGAAGAGGGAGAATCTCCCTCTGCCCTTTCCCTTAAGGTTCTTCTGGCTGGCCAAATAATCAACAAGACAGGTTAGCAGGAGAAAATAATACCAAGTTTAATAACATGTATACATGGGAGAAAGCAGGGACACTGCGTTTCTCTACACAATAGCAGAAATTCTCGTCTTAAATATCATTTTCAGCCAATGACAAAGGAGGATTTTGGGGGTGGGGAGAGTCAGTTACAGGAGATTACCACTAAAGCACAGTAAACAAGAGTAAGGTTTATTATACAGCCCAAGGCCTCACCTTCCACATTGATAAGTCACTAGAAATGAGCTCATCCCCCTCTCTTCTCCAAACAGAGAGGGAGATACCTTTACAAATGGAGATTTCCCTTATAAATGTAAATGATTGTCTGGCAACTCTTCGCAGGGTCATCCAGAGAATGTGGCCAGAGAGACAGAACTTCTGATAAGAGGGGCTTGTTGGTGCCTTTTCTATTGTAACCTTTATCCTACGTTATTTTTATAGCCGTCATGATAGATCTGTTCTAGGAAGGAGCCACCATGTCAAATTCTTTAGGCAGTTAGTGGGGGAGGTCAAATGTCCCTAGAGAAAACAACCAAGGTAAAGAGACAGATTTCAGGGTGGCCAAATCTTGATCTCCCACAGTGTGTCTGAGGAGTAATGAGAAGCCAGCGTGGCTGCAGTGGAGAGAGAGGGGGAGAGAGAGGATGGTAGGAGCCAGGGAACAGCATCACGCAGGGCCCCAGTCCCTGCAGTCTTGGCAGAGAGCTCCCCGGCCCAGCCCCTGAGCCACGCCTGCAGCCCCCCGGCCTTCAGCGAGTCCCCTGGCCCCCTCACTGCCTGCAGGTGGACATCCTGGTGATGGCAGAGCCGTCCTCGGGCCGCTGGGTGCACCTGGACACGGAGATCACCAACAGTAGTGGCCGAATCACCTACAGCGTGCCGCGGCCCCGGCGCCTGGGGGTCGGTGTCTACCCCGTGAAGATGGTCGTCAGGTAAGACTCGGGGGACATTCTCATGGCACATTTCTGTGGCCCTTCCAGCCAGGCCTGTCCAGAAGACGGGGTCCTCGGGTGCTCTCTTTTGGGTCCCATCCCTGTCTGCGTGGAGAAAGGAAGACGGACGAGGTCACCAGGCGTGGCATCAGGAGATGCCATCGAGATTCTCTCTGACCCTGGCCCTGACTGAGCTCTGCCCCAGCCGCCGGCTGACCTCAGGCCTCAGGCTGACGCCTGTTCCTGAGCGCAGGGCTGACCACAGGCGGGGACCTTTCAGGGGCGACCAGACCTGCGCGACGAGCTACCTCACGGTGCTGCCCCGGGGCATGGAGTGCGTGGTGTTCAGCATCGACGGGTCCTTCGCGGCCAGCGTGTCCATCATGGGAAGTGACCCCAAGGTCCGGCCGGGGGCAGTGGACGTTGTCCGGTGAGTGCTACCTCCCTGCAAGGGACATGTCCCCCGGGAAAGCAGCTCTGGGGGAGATGGGTGTGTTTTTTCTGGTTTCCTGCAGGAATTCCACTGGTCTCCAGGGCAGGAGCCGGGAGGTCCTGGCTGCACCTCCAGTAGTAATTTACTGAGGGTCCTTGAGAAAGTCCTGCTGCTTTCTCGACTTTAGTCCCTCCCCCTGTCCCTCCCTGCCTTCCTTCCTCCATTTATTCCAACAGCGTCTGAGCATTCTGATCCCAATCAGCATAAAATCAGTGTGTTCTGATTATCTATGGCTGTGTAACAAATGGCTCCAATCTTAGCAGCTGAAAATGATACTTTATTCCTCTGTCTCATGTTCTGTGCATGGACTGGGCTCTGCTGGGACCTTTTCACCTGGGGTCCCTCCTGCAATTACAGTCAAATGGTGGTCTGGGCTGGGGGTCATCTGAAGGCTCCCCTGGGCTGGATGTTCAAGATGGCTTCTGAACTCATGTATCTTGTTCCTCCGCTGGGGTCTCTCTTTCTCTCTCTCCATGTGGCTGCTCCATGTGACCAGCCTGGGCTTCCTCCCAGCGTGGAGTCTCAGACTAGTCAGACTTGGTGCATGGCGGCTGGCTTTCCCAATGGTAGCCGGCTTCCTCTGTGTCTTAGAGACCCAGGTGGAAGCTTCAGGCTTCTTATGACCCAGCCGTGGGAGTCCCAGTGTCCGTTCCACTGTGTTCTATTGGTTATGAGCTGGTCACAGGCGCAGCCCAGATTCAAGGGGAAGGGACCACATAAGGGTGTGGATCCTGGGACCCGTGGCTCACTGTGGGCTGTCTTTCAAGACTAGCTAACACACAGTGCTAACTGAGAGATGGGAGCTATTACAGCCTATTGGAGAAAGCAGAGCAGGCTTCCTGGGAGAGGTGGCATTTGAGATAGCCTTTGAAGGATGAATGTCTATATATTTTTATTTTACAAAAGCCATCCATGCCATTGGACAAAGATTAGCAAATGCAGAAATGCAAAAAGAAGAGAATACAAAATTGATTTTGATAGGCCAAGAAGGAAGACACAGGGTGACAAGGACAAAGATGAGCAGAGCATGTTTGGGGACCAGGTGGAACAAGTTCATGGCAGTGGGACTGTGGAGGCCAGATTAGGACAGGGCAGGAGGTGTGGCGGGAGACGCAGTCCCCCAGGGCTAGTGTGTTGCTAAGAGGAGTGCGGAAGGATTTTGCCAGTAGAAAAGCAAAAGAGGTCCACTTGAGTGCCTTCCTCCCTTCCCGCCTCCCTGTCTCCGTCCATCCTTCCTGAGCCAGGCTCTGTGCTGGGCCCTGACGCAGAGGGAGCTCCTGGTTGGAGGAATCTCACAGTCCAGCGGGGAAAACAAGTCAGGGCCATGAGAAACAGTGACCCAGGACTCCAAGAGATCAGAACCCAGGAGTGGAACCCATCCTGGGCCCTGGGAGTTCTTGGGGTTGGGCGGGGCCTGCCCTGCCTCAACACAGTCGCAGTGGTCGCTTTGGGGAGAGAAGACTAGCCTGGCTCAGGGGCTCCTAGGAGGCCGCTGACCTCAAGATGCCACTGGCCCTGTGGGAACAGGCCCTGGACAGGCTCAAGCTCATCTCAGGGGTCATCTTCCCCCTTGTAAGGCTGGGTCATTTATTCCCATTACGACGTCTTCTCCAGACCCCTCCCGAGTCAGCGTCCCCTCCCACAGCTGGGAAAGGCTGTGGTCCTTCCTCTCTGGGGCTCCACCTGGTGCTCCCAGCTCCTTCCCCTGGGCTCCTGGGGCCACTGTGGTGCTCTCCAAACTTTGCTAGTCACAGAAGCTGCTCTTTATCCTCACAGGTCACTGGGCCCCACCTCAGAACTAACCAGAATCCCCAGGGTGACATCTGAGACTGTATGTTCTTACAAAATCTCCCCAAATCTCTCAGATCATCTTCCAAGTTTGGAAACCCCCAATCTGTGGTAGCCAGTTGGTGGCTAGGGCCACAAAAGCCCCCAGACTGGTCTGGGCTCGTCTGACATGTTGCAGCCAGGATTCCATGTGACGTCACGGAGAACACTTTCCCATTGTGCTGCGAGAAAAGAGAGGCTGATTCTGCTGGGGAAGCAGGGAAGGCTTCCTGACGGCGGGGGCCTGGAATGATGGGAGGATGGGAACACAAGGAGATGGAGGCATGAAGGCGGTCTAGGGGAGGGGTCTGCAGCAGAGGAGCACAGGGCTCGTCCAGGGCAGCAAGGCATCTCCGTGTGGCTGGGGCGAAGCCAGGCTCAGAGCAGAGCATGGAGGGCCACCAGTGCAGAGGACTTGTGACCAGAGGGCACGGGGGAGCCATGAATGGGCAAAGGAGAAATGGGGTTAGAGTCATGATTTCCAGAAATCACCATGGAAACAGTACGAAGGACAATAATAAAGCCACTGTAGAGCGCACACCATGCCCAGGCATGTTGAGGGGGGTGGTTAATTCATTTCATCCTTAGGACAACCCTATGTGGTAGTTGTTATTATTACCCCCATTTTACAGATGGGGAAACTGGAATCTTAGGGTTAAGTAACCTGCCAAGGTTGCACAGCTTGGACTGGAGTAGGGAGCTGGAGGGAAAGAGGCTCCCAGGCGGCTCTCATAGTGGCCCAGGCGAGAGTGGGGGCCTGAGCTCAGGAGAGAAGTGGGTGACAGTGAGAGCCTGGAGTGAAGACCCTGCTGAGTAGAATGAAACACTTGCTTACTGATGGAGGAGGAAGGAGGAGACACAGAGGGAAGGGGAGGAGTCAAAGGTGGCTTGTCTCTTGCTCTGGACACTTGAGTGACAGGCGGCATCATACAGGAGGGGACAAGAGCAGAGGGGGCAGCAGTGGGGAGATCGGTTTTGTTGTGGGCATGTGGGGCCTGTGGGTCATCCAGGAGAGATGTCCAGGCTCAGGGGCTCAACCAGGACTGGGAAATTGGGGGTCCCCCTTGTTTCCCTTAGTGCTCCTTGCAACAGTCCCTCTGCTTCTCAGGGTGGGCAGCAGTCAGGGCAGGCCGCTGGGCAGTGGGTGGCCTGCATGGGGCTGGGGCCGGGCTGGACCCTGCAATGCTGTCTCCCAGGCACTGGCAGGACCTGGGCTACATGATCCTCTACATCACGGGGCGGCCGGACATGCAGAAGCAGCGGGTGGTGTCGTGGCTGTCCCAGCACAACTTCCCACAGGGCATGATCTTCTTCTCGGACGGGCTGGTGCACGACCCTCTGCGGCAGAAGGCCATCTTCCTCCGCAACCTCATGCAGGAGGTGAGTGTCCAGCCCCAGCGGGGCTTTGGCCAGGGGCGGGATGAGACCTCCACGACCCTCCTCCACTCCTGCTCCATCAACCCCGGGGGCCTCATCCACTTGCTCTGCATCCTCCAACTGTGCAAGCCAATGCCCAGTTTGCAAAGTACATTCCCCTGGATCTCAGTGGGTCCTTTGACAGCCCTGCAGGTAGGAATTATCATCCTCACCACCAGATGAGAAAGATCAGGCTCAGTGAAGCCCAGGACTTGCCCAAGATCTCAGAGTCAGACTTCCCTCCTTCATCTCCTGATCCTAAAGCCTAAACTCTTGTCTCTGCATCTGGTTATGCATTCAGCAGACACCTCAGTGCCTATCGTGTTCCTTCTGTCCTCGGTGTTGGGGCCACACAGAGCCAAATAGAACCTGGGATGTGCTCTCTGGAGCTATGACCTGGAGCTGTGTTTGGTCCTCACAGTGTGTTCCCAGGACCCGCAGCACGGTGCCCCTGGAGCGCAGTAGAAATGTAGAATCTCTGCCCCACCCCCCACAGACCTCCTGACTCAGAAACTCTGGGGAGGGGGCCCAGCAATCTGTGTTTTAACAAACCCTCCAGGGGATTCTGATGCTTGCACAATTTTGAGAACTGCTGATCTAGAGCAGGAGTTGGCAAACTGTGGCCCACGGGCTAAATCAGGCCCATAGCCTGTTTTTATGTGACCTGTGAGCTAAGGATGGTTTTTATACTTTTAAATAGTTGGGGGGGGGAATCAAAACAAGAATAATATTTTATGACATGTGAAAATTATATGAAACTCAAATTTCAGTGTTTATAAAGTTTTTTTTTTTTTTTTTTTTTTTTTTTTATGAGGAAGATCAGCTCTGAGCTAACATCCGTGCTAATCCTCCTCTTTTTGCTGAGGAAGACCGGCTCTGAGCTAACATCTATTGCCAATCCTCCTCCTTTTTTTTTTTCCCCCAAAGCCCCAGTAGATAGTTGTATGTCATAGTTGCACATCCTTCTAGTTGCTGTATGTGGGACGCAGCCTCAGCATGGCTGGAGAAGCGGTGTGTCGGTGCGCACCTGGGATCCAAACCCCGGGCCACCAGTAGCGGAGCGTGTGCACCCAACCGCTAAGCCATGGGGCTGGCCCTATAAATAAAGTTTTATTGGAACACAGCCATGTGATTTCTCATGTATTGTCTATGGCTGCTTTTGAGTTACGACGGAATAGTCAAGTAGTTGCGACAGAGTGCACAGCCTAAAATATTTACTATTTGGTCTTTTACAAAAAAAGTCTGCCAATCCCTGATCTAGAGGAATAAAGACATGTAGATCGACAATTTACTTATGGGTAATTAGACAATTTACTGATTGGCAAATAGAGGTGACAGTACTGGGGAGGCCAGGGAAGGCTTCTGGGAGGTGGTAACTTTTGAGGTGAGTCTTGAAGCATAAGTATGAGTTTGTCAGGTGGACACGGAAACAGCATGTGCAAAGGCACTGACGTAGGAAAGAGCCTGGGATGTTCTTAGAGCTGCAGGTGTCCAGGATAGGGGTGTGTGCAGGGTCAGACCTGGTCAAGTGGGAGCTGAGGCCCCAGAGGTCATCAGGGACCTGGGCTTGGCAGGCCATGAAAGCCTTGGAAACCAGGCCAAGACCATGAACTCTCTGCTGGGGGCAGTGGGGAGCCATGGAGGGGCTTAAAGCAGGGGAGTGGCAGTGTCTAATTTGGGTTGTACAAAGATCCCTCTGGCAGCTGTGTGGAGAACAGATTGGTGGGAGAAATGAGAAGCAGGGAGACCAGTTGGGGGCTGCTGCCCAAGCAAGAGACAGAAGACCAGGATCAGGTGGTGGCCATGGGGTGGGGAGAAAGGCATACACAGGCGGGAGAGTCAGGAGGGGGAACTGTCGGACTCAGTGATGGCTGGATGGGGGTGTGAGGAGCTCTCAGATGTCTGTCTTGGGAGACCAGAAGGGATCAAGGTGCTACTACCCTGACCGGGGTCTCCGTGGAGGCAGAGTCAGTGTCTGTTTTGTCACCTATCTGTCTCCAGCACCTGGGGCAATGACGGCACAGGGCAGGCACTCAGTAAAGGTTAGCAGAATGAATGAGTGAATGAATGGAATGAGGGGGCACAGAGGAGGACCGGCTGGAGGAAGACGAGCTCAGTTGTGGCCACATCGAGGCTGGTGTGGCCGGGACACGAGCCACGTGAGCCGCAGGGCATGGCTCAGGGGAGGGGCTGACTGCAGGTGGAGACGAGGAGTGTCAGCAGGGCGCAGGTCCCTGAAGCCAGGAGATGGGAGTGGGAGGAGTCAGTGCTGGGCCCCAAGAGCAGGCAGAGGAGCCGGCAGAGGGACCACCGAGAGCCAGAGGGGGAGGAGGCCAGGAGAGAAGCTTCCAGGTGCCAGGGAGGAGAGTGCCCTTCTTGTGGCGAGGTGTGGTACAGCGAGGACCGTCCACTAGATGAAGACTGGACACTGATGGCCTCGGTGGGGTAGGGACACTTCACAGGTCCAAGGGGGCAGAAGCAGTGGAGTGAGGAGCAGAGAAGTGGGTCTCAGCTCAGAGGGGTTGTGCGGTTGGAGAGGACTCACTGGACTGAAGGTGCAGGAGTGAGCTGCTCCTTCTGAGCTCAAGGCCAGCTGAGAATAAAGCAACCAACGAGGAGCAGGCAGTGGGCTGAGGAAGGCCTCCCTTTGGTTCATCCAAGGCAGAGTCACCTGCGGGACTGGGTAGCAGTTCAGGGAGGGAGGTAAAAATCGGGGAGAGTTTTTCGGTGGCGGCAGAAAGGCTGTGTAGGGCAGGAGCCGTGTGGTCCTGTGTTTCTCCTGCAGCCCTCGGTAGCTGGCATATAGGAAGGGAGAAGGTGGATGGTGGAGAAATTCCAGGGCTGAGGCATGGCCAGGCGGGGGTGGGAGGAGGATGAGGGGGCCGGAGTGGAGGGGGAGAACACAGGGGTGCCACAGGGAGCCCAGGCTGGATGAGGAGGGGGTGAGGCAGGAGGGGATGTGCACAGAACACAGGCGTCGATGAGGCTGGAGCGCAGCTGGGGTGGGAGCTGTAAGAGGCGTGGAAGGGAGGGAGCGGGGTCAGCTTGGGGATGCGGACGTTCAGAGTTCAGAGAGGGCAGTTATGGGTTCAGTGCTGGAGGTGACGGCCACTGACCTTAAAGAGGCCGAGAGGCTGAGGTGGTAGGTGGGTTATCCACGTGGGCAGGAAGCCATCCCAGTGATGGCGGGACTTAGGAGGAAGGAACGCTGAGACCGGGGACCACAAAAGTCTCCAGTGAACTTGCGGGGAGGGTGAGTGAGAGAAGAGAAGACGACACAGATGGGGGCTCAGAGTGAGGAGCAGCTGGACGGTGAGCCCCTCAGAGGAGGGAGTGGGTGAGGATCTGAAGTGACACTGGGGCGAGGAGGAGCATGGGCAGTTCTCTGAACTGGGAAGAGGCTTCTGGGGAGGATGTGGGACCAGTTAGCAACAGGCAGCAGCCGTATGGTGGGCCTCAGTCTGGTGTGGTGTGGCTGGCCCAGGGTCAGGGGCCAGACAGAAGTGGCCTCTGGTCTTGGCCCTGTGATATGTAAGCTAGGAACTCAATTTCCGTGTCCACGAAGGAGCACTTTGCCCCCTTGTTACATAACCTACGGATAGTGCTGCTGGAGTAGGGTCAGCAGATGGTGTGGCCATGACTTACCAGGAGAGCCCTGCGTCAGCCCTGGGGTCTGGGTGCGGCATGGGAGCTGGGAGAGGAGGCCACTGTGGGGGGTGGTTCCTGACACAGGGCGGACCCATGACTTGGAGTCTAGGTGGGCAGATAAAGCGTCCCTAAGCAGAGGCTCTCGGTGTGGGGGGAGTCTAAGAAGACTTCCTGGGGGGTCTCCCTCCATGAGTTGCCCTGTCTTTCAGTGCTTCATCAAAATCAGCGCGGCCTATGGCTCCACGAAGGACATCTCCGTCTACAGCGTGCTGGGCCTGCCACCCTCCCAGATCTTCATCGTGGGCCGGCCCACCAAGAAGTACCAAACCCAGTGCCAGGTGGGTGGAGGCATGGCTGGGGGCCAGGGAAAGGGTTGGGGGAGTAGGTGGTTCATTCCTTCATTCATTCTATCACTTGCTTATTCATTCATTCATTCATTCATTTATTCAACAAACACTCCCGGGACCTGCCTTGGACCAGGCCCTGTGCTGGCTGCAGTGGAGATCCCTGGTGGAATCGGATGTCACGTCATCCAGTCTAGCGGGGGAGATGGGGAAATTGGCAGACAATGACAGTGCAGTGTGGCAAGAGCTATAGTGCATGACGGGCAGTACAGGGAATTGTGGGGCCCCAGAGAGGAGCAGCTAGGCTGGACTCAGGGGCAAGGTTGGTTTTTGGCAGCTTGAAGGAATTGTCCAGAAAGGGCCTGAGGTTGGAGGAGCATTTGTGACAGCAGCAGCAACAGCAAAGGTCAGGAGGTGACAGAGCACATGCATATTCTAGGAACTGCGAGTAACTCAAGCTGGCTAAGCCTGATGTGGGAGGGAGCGGGGAGGCGGCCGGAGCGGCAGGGCGCCTCGATGGCCTGTGGGCCTTGCCAGGTTGGGACTAGGTCCTCTAAGTCTTTGCAGTGAGTTTGTGATTCAGAGAGAGAACCGTCAGGCTGCAGGAAGGTGGATAGAGGAAGGGGACAGTTGATGCAGAGAAGGCAAAGAGTCTGAGAGGCCTTCCCAAGGGAGGATGGATTGGATTTGGTAATGAACGGATCAGAGGTGTGGGATGAAGGAGGGGAAAGCCAGACTGGCACCTCGGTTTCTGGCTGGGGTGATGGCGCAGGTGGTGCCATTACTGGGACTGAGAAGCAGGTTGGAGAAGGAGCAGACTGAAGGGAAGGTGATGATCTCCTTCCGGGGCATGTCGGGTGTAAGGTGTCTGAGACAGACCAGCAGGTGGAGGGTCGGGAAATGGTGGGACCTCCGGGTGGGGAGCACTGGAGACTAACCGCCTCCGCATCACGGGGAGATCTTGTTGACACGCAGGTCCTGATTCCATTGGCCTGGGGTGGGGCCCGGGCTTCTGCCCATCAAGGGTCCAGGTGCTACTGATGCTGCTGGTCCATGGACCACACTTTGAGTAGCAAGGCTCTGAGGTCACGGTGGCGGCAGGGATTGGCAAGAAGGGCAGCTGTGGGGGCCAGAAAATGACAGAGTTATACTGGGAGAAGCTGGATGGTGGGAGAGACTTACATTTTGGGATTTTAGTGAGTGACAAGGATGGGAGCTTCATCCCCAGAGAATCTAGAGAACTCTGGTGTATCCCACCCATGCAGACAGAAGCGAGCAGTTCTCCAAAGCTGGGTGGGGAGCCTTTAACGGTAATGAGCTCCCCATTTCTGGGAGGTTCCCTGGAGAAGCTGGAGACCCCCTGGTAGCGTGTTCCAGGGAAAGGGCCCTGTTAGGGGGGCAGGACCAGGGGCCTGCCCGCCCCGCTGGCCTGACGCCTGTCCCCTCCGCAGTTTCTGAGCGAGGGCTACGCCGCGCACCTGGCCGCGCTGGAGGCCGGCCACCGCTCGCGTCCCAAGAAGAACAACTCGCGCATGATCCTGCGCAAGGGCAGCTTCGGCCTGCACGCGCAGCCCGACTTCCTGCGGAAGCGCAACCACCTGCGCAGGACCATGTCGGTGCAGCAGCCCGAGCCGCCAGCCAACCCCAAGCCCGAGCGGGCCCAGAGCCAGCCCGAGTCCGACAAGGACCACGAGCGGCCCCTGCCCACGCTCAGCTGGGCGCGTGGGCCCCCCAAGTTCGAGTCGGTGCCCTGAGGGCCGAGCTGTGCGCAGAGTAGAGGGGCCCTACCAGGCTGCCTGCAGGGACGGCAGGGGCTGCCTTCTCCCCGACACAGGCCTTTTCCTGCTTTTTCCCTCCCGTGTCTGTCCAGCAGTGTCCGACCAGAGCGGGGAGGGACCCTGCCCAGCCCTGGGGGGTTCCCTGGGCTGCGAGGGGGGGAGATCCAGGGGTCTCGGCGCAGCTGCTGCTGCCTGCCCCGTGCCTGTGACTGCAGGCCCGAGTCAGGGTCGATGTTTGTGTGGTCCTGGGGGCAGGCCAGCCCGGAGCTGGAGGCTTTGACAAAGTCGACGGTCGTTCTGAGTTGCTGAGGCTTCAGCAGCGATGCTAGGCGGGCCCCGAGGGAGAAGCCACCAGACTAGGGCTCAACAGGACTGGCAGGTACAGCTTCTTGGCCGTCTGGTGGAGGGGCCAGTGGCATTTGTGCCTGCCCTCCCTGTGACATCCTGGGTCACCATGTTGGGCCTGGCTCTCTTATGACAAAGTGGCCACTTTCTGGAGTGAGAAGATGTCCCCTGGGCTCATCCTATGTTCGCTGTGTCTGTCCACGGCCCGGGGGGTGGGGTGGGGTCTGGTGCTGACTGTCTGTCCTCCTGCAGCTGTCCATTATCCCCCCTTCCTGTGCTCAGTATCCTCACCCTCCTCCCGTGGCCCCTGAGGACAGGCGTTCCTCTTCCTGGAGTCCTGCCTGGTGCCCTCCCTTGTGAGGCTGTGGCCTTGGCCTCTGGCCTAGCTGGGCTGGCTACGAGCCCTTGAGCCTGTTGCTTGCCCTCTCTGGGCCCTGCCTTCCTTATGTGATTGGAGGGGGTCTCCCCAGCTGAGATTGGTGCGAGTTTTTGACTCCTAGTCTGTCCTGCACTTCTGCCCCCTGAGGCTTTTCAGGACAAAGAGCCCCTCGGAGTGTCCAGTGATCTGTACCTTCCACACTGTCTGAGAGAGGGGCTCTAGGTGGGCCGGGAGGGGGCAGCTATTGCTCCACCGCTTCAAAGGAAGCCCCTCTTGGGGGTGGGGGTCGCTAGGAAGGAACCCCTGCTCCACGGAGAGATTCGCTTTGCACTGATCTGTAAACCTGGTGGCCCAGGGACAGAGACTTTCCCCCCACAGGGACTGATCTGGCTCCCCCTCCCCAGCTCTGCTCAGACTGATTTCTCCCTTTCGGCTCCTGGAAGGCATAGAGCTGACATCCCAGGGTTCTGGAGGGTCACGTAATTTTGGCTCAAACTGTTGTATTCTCTTCCCTTCCTTCTGCCACTCAGCTTGGTTTGTGCCCATGACCTCCTCCTGGATCGTCCCCTGAGGGAGGCAGGGCTTGGCTCTCCTGGGGCCCCTTAAAGCCTGCCCAGGCCCTCCTGCTGCTGAGCCCCTGGCCTGGGCATTGGTCTCCTGCACTCCCCCTGTTCCCTGGCCATGTGGGCCTGCCTCTGAGCCCCCAAGGGCTGTCACTGAGGTTGGTCCCAGCTCTTTCAGCCAGAGCTCCATGTCAGAGGCCAGGCTGCCCCAGGGCCCAGGCGTCTGTGAACAGCAGGCAGCTGTGTCAGCTCAGTGTCGCTTCCGCTCAATGTCTACCTCTTGCAGCTCCCACGTGGCCAACGTCCTCCCCGACAGTGGCTGCTGGTGGGGGTGGCTGGCACCGCTGCTGCGAATTACCTGTCAAACTGGGTGCCCTGCTGAGGCTGGAGGGGTCCGAGTCCCAGCCTCCACCCCTGCTCTCTCTACTAGAAAAGTGTCTTCTCCAGCCTGCCAGCTCCTGCCACGTCCGCCAGACCTGTCTGCCAGCTCTCTGCCCCCGTTTCAGCCCTGCATCAGCACCCGAGCCCAGAGCTGCTGGCAAGTCTGTTGGGGCGGGGTGATCACCCTCAGCCTCCTCTCTGGTCCTGCCTCCTGGCAGTTCACACGGGCCCATCCTCCTTTGCCATTTCATCCTTCTTGGCTCTCCATAAGGCACCAGCTCATATGGCACAGCCACCTAATCCTTCCCATCCTTTCCAAAATGTACCCTGAGTTAAACTTGGGCAGACTTGGTCTGATTCTCTGCAACTCCACCATCTCCTTTTTGTAGAAGCCACTGATGTATTACTCTCAAATGATGAAATTATTAGTGTGAGATACTTCCCCCTCCGGTTAGATTCCCTCTGCCCTTCCTGAGAACCCCAGGCTGGGAGCAAGAGAGTGTGGGGACCCTGGGGAATCTGGAGTCCGAGTGAGCAGGGTTCTGTGGTTCTGGGGTCGGAGCTGGGACGCAGGACACAGCAGGAGGCCACCACCCCTTCCTTTCCAGAGCTCAGGATTGGGGCTCTGGTGACTCACACCTGAGATGCTGGCGGTGTACAGTGAGAGATTGTGAACAGACTCCCTGGAGCGTTAGTTGGCGTGTGTGAATGTGTGTGTGCGGTTCTGTACAGCGACCAACCCAGACGGCGTCCGTGCGGTATAGCTTTCATGGCGACCCTGTGACCAGCGTGCACTTTCTGTCCTAGTGGTTTGTTTCGTTTTGTCCGTCCAGTTCAGTTGGAGGAAAACAGAGATCCAAGTTGTGTTGTTCCCCGGAGGGGGTGCTGCCGCCTCTTTCCGAGCAGTTCTGTGACCCCCAGTCTGGCTGTTTTCTAGAGACTCCTTCCAGCTCCTGGTGTGCCTGCTGCCCAGGAGCTGGAAAACAGATCTTCCTGCCTGACCAAAGCTCCTTGTTTCTCGCGTGGCATGTTTGTTCTCCCCGACCCGGTGGCTGTCCTGACCGAGGGCCTGCCTGCCGCCTTCCTCGACATTCGCCCTGTGGGGGTCCAGGGAACATCCTGAGCCAGGGCCTGCCCTTCCAGCATCGTGGTGTTTCCTCAAGGCCCTGAGGCTCCACAGAGTAGTAAAGAAGTGTAGCCTCTTCCTGCATTTGGATGAGTGGCCCTCCTGTCTGGGTGCTGGGCTGCAGAAAGAAAACGTGTTTGCGTCCCAGTATTCTGGAGATTCCTGGGGGGTGGGCCCTCTGAAGGAAGGGAGGCTGGATCTCATGGTTTTTAAACCATACTTTTACCACTTTGGAGTCCATACCCACACCTTGGGAGTGTCCAGCAGACAAAACATGGCGCCATTTTTAAATGAAGGCCAGACCCCGAGGCGGGTAGAAATGGGTCCAGAGGTGGCCCCAGTTTTGCATGGACACTGCCCCACCCAGCCCAGGTGCGGCCCCGCCCGGGAGGGGCGCCCTGACTTCGAAGAGCCTTGCAGCTGACCCCGCCTTAAACAATCAACTTTCCCGCCAAATCCCGGGGGTTTGGGTGCCAAGTGCTCTGGAAACCTATTCTCTTTGGTTCAGCCAAAAGAAACACCCCCTCCCTCCTTAGTCTCCTTCTGGGCTTGGGGGGACTTTCTTAAAAATCATAGTTAGGGTTAAGTCCAAGCAGTGAGGCCTGGCCTGGGTCACGCTCTCCTTGCGGAGAGACCACCAGGGTGGTTGGGAGGAAAATCAGAGTTTGAGCCCACCCTCGGTGGGACAAGGAGAGGCAGATGACTCCAAGGAGGGGCCGGCCAGGAGGGCGGCTCACTCACGGGGACCCCCACCCTCGGACCCCGCCGTCCTTTTCTATTCGTCTGCTCTCTGGTGGCAGCCTGTCTGACCTTGTCCGTGGTCTGACTGTTCCTAAGTGTGTAACTCTCAGTATTATCTGTGGTGGGTGGTTCTGTGGTGGAAAAGGTTCATTCTACTCCTCATGGCTGCCTTGTACAAAATCCGTTAGAAAAGAAAATGTAAAATACCAGATTTCTAGCAAGACACAAACAGCATTACGGAGTTAAAAGATTTTTACAACTGGTCTTGATTTTGATGTGAGCTGCTTTTTAACTCTCAAACGTTGTCACTTAAATAAAAATCTTATTTGCCTTTAAAATGTGCTTTGTGCTGAGCTAAGCTGAGAAGGCTTTCCTGTTGCTCGTTTCTCCCTGAGCTGGGTGCAGGCGGGCTCAGAGTGGGGGCGGGTGAGGGGAACAAAGCTGGGCCCCAGACCACAGACCTGTAGCCCAGAGGGGCGAGGGGCGTGGCGGAGACAGAGAAGAGACGTCAAATATGCAGAGAGAGTCTTTATTAAGAAAAAGCAGCATTATCTAGGAAAGTCACACACCAGTTTCTTTCTAATAAAATGACAAAGCAGATTTCTTAAATAATTTACAAAGGGCAGAAATTGCTTGTGAACAGTGCCACCCCTCCCTGCACACCCACAGTGCCCCGCGCTGAGAACATCAATAGGTACCCGGGGGCCCAGGGTCTTGGAGCCTGGGAATCTCTGCTGTCCCCTCTCGCGGAGCTCCGATGAGGGGAGCAGGGGCGGGAGGTGGGTACTGAGAGCCTCGGCACTGGCGACACGGGATGATTCCCCACAGACCCCACTCCTGGGTACACAGCTCGGAGATTTCAAATATCTTCTGGTGCCTGCACTTCATGTTGCAAACGAGCAACCACAAGGCGCAGGCGTGGGATGAGTTTCTAGTCCAAGAGGGTAGTGGCATGAACAACTCCCCCCCGCTGAGGTCTCCCCGAGTCACTCTTTGGCTGTGGTAGGAGGTCATGGTGGGCCTAGATATGGCCGGAGCAGGAGAGCAGAGGCCCCGGAGCAGCTTCCCCCTGGGCCCTTGTCAGTCAGGTCTTTGATAACAGTGCCCCAGGGGCGCTGCTGACTCCTGGGGGCTTCCTCTGGGAACTCACAGGGAGGCACGGAGCCTAGGTGTGAGGGCATGGTGGCCAGATATGGCTTGTTTCCTGCAAGACAGAGCTCCCTTCATGCCCCTCAAGGCAGGGGAAGTGGGGACACCTTAGCCTTCCTTCCCCCCAAAATGAGGAGCTGGAAGGTGGCACTAGCTACTTGGGGCTCCGGAGTGCTCAGTTAGTGATGGGGTCAGTGGGGTCAGCAGTCTGGCTCCGAGCAGGTAGGAAGACTAGCACCCTTCCTACTCTGCTGGGCCCATCAACTCTGTGGGTTTTTCCAGAAAAGACTCAGTTCTTTAACTTGCCTCCAGATATGCATATGTGCTTATGCCTGAGGAGGAGGAGGAGGAAGACACTGAGAGAGATGCGTGGGAGGGAGCATTACCTGAAGGGCACTGTCCTCAGTCACGAATGAGAGAAAGGGTCATGTCGCCACTAGAGATGGGAAAGTGGGAGGGACAGATGCCATTGGGTGCGGCAGGCTCTGAGGGGCCCTCCCAGCCTGGACTAGACGAGACCAGACCTGGCAACGTGGTGGGAACATGGCCCACCTGATGTACTGTCAGGGCTGGCAGGGCCCCACCTAATAGCTCATCACGGCCACGTGCAAATGGGGAAACCGTCCCAAGTTAGGGCAGCTCCTGACCCAAGCCCTGCCCGCAGGACGGGGTCCTCAGCAGACAGACCAGGAACTCCACAGCAGCCACGGAGCTTTTCCCAATTCCGTGGGCGCGCAGGGCACAGAGGAGCCACGGGGAGTGTTGGGGGAAGGGCAGGTCTTTCAGGAACTGGGTACCTGGCCACACGTGCGGTTCCAGGTGATGGAGAAACATGGGAGCCCAAGGCCCAGGGGGCCACGCACACCCAGGGTGCATCCTTAATCACCACCCCAATCTAGGTCTTTCATCCCCTCTCCTGTTGCAGAAGAGGAGACCGAGGCTCAGAGAGGGGGAGGGGCTGGCCAAGGTCACACTCAGAGCCAGAACCAGAGGCCTGCCTAGAAACACGGCAAGGGGGACCCCCCGGCCACTTCACTTTGAAGCATGGGATGCCAACTCACCTCTCTTCAGTGACGATGGCCTCATCCAGCTCTTGGGACAGCTTCTGGAGATGCTGAATTCCTGCCCCCACAGGCTCTAGATCACTGTCAGACTCACTGAATGGGAGGAAGAGCCGCATGTACCAGTGATGGTTGGAAACTGGTGGTAGGAGCCCCTCCCAACCCGGCACTGGGGCCTGGTCCACAGGCCCAGGAGATGACTGGGGGGACTGGGAATGCCTCACCCCAGACCCCACCTCCAGGAAGTGACATTAGAGCCACTTGGAGCAGCTGGCAGAGAACAGATGGACCAAGGCCCGTGAAGCCAAGGTCAGGGGCAGGTGACCTTGCAGACAGGTGAGCTCTGCTGCTCCCCACTTGGAAACTGAGCCTCAGCCTCCAGATGCTTCAGAACTTGCTTTGGGGCTCACCAGGAGGTTTGGGTGAGTGTGACACTGTCAGAGCTCAGCTCCCTGAAGGACTTCCGCAGGTCCCCCTCTAGCGGGGGGGCAGAGCTGGGCCAGAACTCGGATGTGACTCAGCTCGGGGTGCCTCTGGCTCCAGGTAGCCCCAGAAGGGGCTCAGAAGCCCCTGGGGCCCAGTTGGTATTTTGGGGCAGGGCATTTTCCTCATACCTGGGGGAGCAGAGGGGCTCTGTCGAGGAGTAGGGGCTCCGGAAGGCAGCCTCCCTCCTGGCCCGTCGCAGGGGGTGGCCACGTGGGCCTATCTGGGCGGAGAGGCCGTGATGCTCCCTCTCCCAGGGGTCCAGGGTTGAGTGGGCAGGGGCAGCTCCAGACAGCCGGGTGCTCCTCTGGCTCAGGCTGCGAGCTGGGGGGCTACTGCCCTTCTGTGTCCCTCTCTTCCTCCTCCTGGCTTTCACCTGGGTTTCCACCAGCCACTTGGTACCACTTTGGCAGGACTCCTGGATTCTCTGTGACAGGTACACGGAAAGGTGAGCACAGACAAGCCAAGGAGGAGCTACCCCGAGTCTCCAGGCTGTACCTCCACCCACTTGGCCCACCAGCTATCCTGCAAGTACAGGCAGCTTTTAGTCTCAGGAGTGAGGGATGTGGATGAGTCTGTGTGAAATGGGTGCATGGCAGGGACCCAGCTCAGAGCTGGGTGTGAGAGCAGTGGTCACAGCAGAACCATTCTCGGACATGGAGCCTGCATTTGTCTAAGCCCAGACCCTGTTGTGGGACACACGTTGACCCAAAGAATCAAAGGCAAGGCCCAGGGAAGACCAGGCTGACCCCCCAGGATACCATGAGATAATTGGTCTCCCTGCCTCTGGTCTCACTCACTTTATCCATCCTCCACATTTGTGCACAGAGATCCTTCTCAAGGGCAGCTCTGACCATGACACTCAACAGCTCAAAACCCTTCTATGGCTCCTCACTGCCCACAGGATCAAGCCCTAACTCATGGGCCTTTCACTCCAGCTGGGGGACGGCTGTGAAGGCTCTTCCTCAGCCAGGCTGTCTTTGCCTCGGCAAACCAGAGTCTGGAGGTTAGAGACTCGAGTTACCTTTGGTGAGTAACTTTGGTGACCTTGGGCAGCCTACTTCATTTCATTTCTCTGATCCCTGGGGTATAAAACAATCACAGGGCTCTTCCAGACAAGGACTAACATTTGGCTCAGAGACCTTTCTGCAAAGGGTTCAGAAACAGCTTCCCTCTCCCAAATCTTCAGATTCTCAATCAGACACAAAGGAGATTCCCCCCTCCCCCCAGTTCTCTCCTTGGAGGTCTAGTCACTCTCATGGCCTCTGTCCTTTCTAGGGGACACCTTTCCATATCTCCAGCTCCGGGTTTGAAGACACACCCACTTTGAAGGCCCACAGGTACCTCATACCCAACATATGTGATATCTTCTTGCCCACACATCTCATCTGATACCAAATCTTCTCACATCTACCTTCTGAGTAGCTCTTAAAGTTGTTCACTCCTCTGTAAGGCCAGGGCCCCAGGCCCCCTTAGGGGGAATCTGCTTCTAACTCCTTTTCCATCGAGTAGCTAAAGAACAAGTTCTAATATGCTAATTGGACCCTATTCCCACCCTGTTGAAAATTCTTCCCACTGGTTCCCATGGCTCCCTATCACTCTTGGGAGAGTCTAACACCTTCAGCACACCAGATCCCTCTCTCTTGCACCAGCTTGCTCTCTGTTCTCCGGCCACACCCAGACTAAGCTCCTGCCAGTTCTCCTTCATTTCTGGCTCTGGACTCACACTATTGCACCTGCCTCATACATTCCTCATTCTTCCTCTTTTGTGGGTGAATTCTGTGGAATCACCTCCTCTGGGAAGGCTTCACCCACCGAGCTTGTTTTTGGTGTCACCCCCCATCAGCCACTCCTTGCAATTTCCTATCACAATACAGCTCTTATCACCTTGTACTGTGAGGATCTGTTTCCTCCATGACACTGTTTTCCTTCACTCATTCAACTATTTGTTGAGTGCCAGGAACTATTTGGGGTGCTGGGACACAGCAATGAAAACATCAATGTCCCTGTCCTCTTGGACTCTGTATTCTTTGGGGCTCCTTGAGGGCAGCAGCTGTCAGCACCGAGGAAGCCCTCCATAAATTGATGGTTCGCGCTGTCAGCATTACCTGGGACACGGCACCCAAGGCGTTCTTAGCTGAGCGGGCCGCAGCCTGGAGACCCTGCTGCCCTGGCTCTGGGGCTTCCAGGCGTTTCCAGGAGGGGCCCACCCCCAGGTTGAGGCTGACTGCTCTCAGAGGCAGCCTCCTTTGGAACTGTCTGCACAGGGAGCCCAGGGCCCCACTGGAGGTCTCCGGATGGCTGACTGCAGGCTGCAGCATCTCACTCTCCTCCAGCTGCTCCTGGTCCTGGAGAGATCTTCGGCGCATGGAGACCCCCACGCTTGGCCACCGAGAGGCCATCTGCCTGGCCAAGAGTCTATTCTGTCCACCAGACCTTGGGAAGGAGGTCAAAAGGCAGGTCAGCAAGGCATCCCCCATGCCCAGGCTCCACAGAGACCCTGGGTACAGGGGAAGAGATGGGATGGAGGCCCATGGGGTGGGGTGGATGGCCGAGGCCGGGGGTGAGGGCACTCGGCAACTGTGGGAATAGGAAGGAGGATGCTTCCTAGAAGGCGAGGGCAGCGAGGCCCAGAAGAGGGCAGAGGCTGTACAAGGCCGGTCAGCATCTCCTGCAGTCCCTTGCTGCAAGTGTCTAAAACAGCTGTCCTTCCATCCCAGCCTGCTTTCCGCTCCCTGCCTCAGGGAGGGAGGCAGAGTCAGGACCGGCCCTCCCGAGCCTCAGCACTTGGCCAGGGCACCATCAGCGGCTCTTTCACAAACTCGCGCTGACCCAACGCGATCCCGCCAGGACCCCGCATACTGACCAGACACCCCGATTTCCACCTTGCGATACCCAGACGCCCACGTGCCGTGCCCATCCTACCCGCTCCGCCCCGGTCCCTTCAGAACAGAAGCCCCACTACGGCCCGGCCCGCACTCACCCAACAGCCCCCAACGTCGACCGGACGCCCGGCACAGCTGCTCCTCGCCCACTCCGGCCGATTTGAAACTCCGCGCGGATCCGCCCCTGGTCCTGTCGTCACAGCTGATTGGCTCCGTTCCCGCATCGCTGCCGCGCCCGGGATCCGATTGGCTCCCTGCTCTCGCGGCTGTGAATCCTGCCCGCGGATTGGCCCGGCCGTTCCCATTCATCCCTCAGGACCACGCCAGGCTTGGCGCGGCGAGATGCTTCCCCTTTGTAACTGCGGGTCCCGACCGCGCCCCTCGCCGGCCCAGCCCCCGCGCCCCCTCCCGGACGCTCGGCCCCAGGCCACTGCGGCCCCTCCTCGAACTGCAAAGGGTTCAGGCTGGTCGGACTGGGCGGGGCAGAGACGCGGGCCCGGGCTCCTGGGGACCCTCCCATCCTGTCCAGAGTCTCAGATTATCTGTCAGAAACAGCCGGCGGCTGGGAGCACGGGGCTGGGTTCCCGTGGAGGTTTTGTTTCAAACTTCTGTCTGCCTTCCGGAGACGAGGCACTGCCCTCCTGTGTTCCCCAGACTCCACCCAAACTCTGCCCCCAGGAAATCCCATCCTGGCAGAGGGAACAGACCAGAGTACATCACCCAGCCCTCCTCCAATGAGCCCCCTCCCCACACCCGGTGTGCCCCACTGACGCTCCTCTCTCTCCAGTCGAATGCCTTCCTCTAGAAAGCTCCCGCCACCATCTCCCTCTTTTACCTGGCCTCACAGCAGCACTGGCCACTGTCCCCATCCTCACCCGGTTTAACCCGCCCCTCTCACCTCTCTGGCCACTCTCTTGCTGATGTCTCAGCTGAAGGGCTCCTAGAAGCTCTGTCTTTAGCCTCTTCTTTATCTCTGGGTGATCTCACCCACTCTCTGGCCTCAGTGACCCCCCACGGGATGGTGAGTGCAATGAGCATGTATGGGGCGCTCACTGTGCACCAGGAACCTGTGTCCCAAGCACTGTATATTATGAACTCATCTGACCCTCGTTGCAGCCTAGAGGAGAGGAGGAGACTGAGGCAGAGAGAGCTTCAGTTGGGTCCCAATCTCCCTTAGTTAGTACGAAGCAGGGCCAAGGATTCAAACTCTGTCAGTCTGGCACCAGCGTCCACGTGCTGCACCACCACACCACACCACACCACATTGCCCTTCCTTAGCCTGTGCCTGTCCCCTCATGCCCATCTCCTCCCGGGGCTGTAGGCACCTTAAACCCACACGCCCCAATCGACGTCACCCTGGTCTCTCCCAACCCTCCTCCTCCCTCCCGGTGTCCCCTCTCATGTCTTTCCAAATATCTACTGGTGTCTGACAGATGAAGCACTGTGCTAAAAATGGACCAAAGGTCAACAAACAGACGCATTCCTTACCCCCACGGAGCTCAAATCTAGTGTATGGGGAGAGACCGGCATTAACGAGTCAAATAATAATCAATTAATCAAAGAATATTATGACACAAAAATTACGTCATTTAAAGCTGAGATCCAGAGAATGAGTTGACCAAGCAAAGAATGTACGTGCGTGTGTGTGTGTGCGTGTGTGTGAATGTGTGTGTGTGTGCATGTGTGAATGCGTGTGTGGAGGGTCTTCTCGCACAGGAATGTTCAAGGCAACATTGAACAGTACCCGTGTAAGATGCCCAGCACACACACATATGTTTAATGAAACAAGCTTTCCTGAAACTGTGTGTGATGGGCTTTGATATTTTATTATCTACTTCATTTTTTTTAACATGCTGGTGACAGCTCCCAATGGCTCCCTACCGAGGTGTGAGCTGCAGTTTGAACAACCCTGCTCTGGTCTGCCTCTTCCCCCTTTTTCCCCGTTAAGTTGTTTCCCAAGCATCAGAGGTGTTTGTTCCCAGCCCTGTTTGTGCCAGTCATATTTGTTATTGGAATTAAAGAATGTAGTTCAGGTCCTCTACCAATGAGACATAAGGGGGAAAGCAAGAGTTGTTTTATGAAAACTAAGTTGAAAGTGTGGGAAAGACTCAGTGAAGGTGAAACACTTAGAAAAAAAGTCTCTCAAATTGGGTTGCCTTGTTACAATTGCGTCAAGGCCTTGTCTCCGTGCCTCTAGCAGTGCCTGGCACCTCACTGGCGTCAATACGATAGCTTAAGTTGGTTGAGCCTTTAACACGTGTGCGCTAAGTGAATTCCTTTATTCTTCCTTAATCCTCACGGTGACTCTATGACAAATTACAGATGACACAACTGAGATTCAGGTGGGTCAAGTGTCTTACCAAAGTTGGGATGGAGAGTCAGAGCTGGATCTTAAATCTTGGATGTCTGACTCGAAAACCTGAATTCTTAACCTTAGATTACACAGCCTGAATGAATGAGTGAATGAACCAGAGACAAGGCCCTCCCTGCTTGGGGCTTCACACCTCCTTCCCTCAGAATCATAACTGGCGGGCCAGGTGCACAGGATCAGTCTCCATGGCAACGAGAGAAGGAGGAAGAAACCTGAATGGGAAGGCTCTCCCTCTGCCCTGCAGGGAGTGGAGTGAGGGAGCAGCACGGAGGATGCGCTGAGGTGAGCAGGCGCCCAGCGGAGGGGCGGTGGGCGCAGGGGCTCCTGCTCCTCCTCGTAAGGAGGAAAAACCACAGTTGTTCCGAGCTGAGGCTTTTTGGGGTCCAGCTCCGTCCTCGCCTCTGCTGGGGAGGAGGATGGAGGAGTGAAGGAGGAGCTCCAGCCCTGCCCCGCCCCGGGGGCTCCCTGTCCAACAGCAAAGCTTCCACCGGTTTCCTGGACCTCATGGAGCTGTCAGTGTGATGGAAGCAGCAGACATTAAACTCTGCAAAATGCCACGAATGCGAAGTGCTAGGGGCGACGAGGGGGTGTAAGGGGGTTGGGGAACCCCACTTGATTTGGGGGTGAGGGTAGGCTGCCCTCAGCATGTCATGTTTTAGCTGAGGAGTTAGGAGGACAAAGCGAGGGGAAGAGGTTTTCTGATTGAGAGATCTGCAAGGGGACTGCCCAGGCTGAGCGAGATGGAGAGGGCGGGGCCGGGGTGGCAAGAGGTAGGGGCTGCAGGGTTCCCTTGACCGGGCAAGGAGCTTAGAATTTATCCTGAGGGCAGAGGGAAGCCTGAATTTTGAGAGGACCGTGGGGTTGTTAGAGCTGCAATTTAATGAAGTCCATTAGGAGGTTAGTTTGGGGGCCAAGGGGTGGCGGGGGGGTCTGTCTGGAGGCTCTGGCCTGAGCATCTCATTCTTCAAAGCAGTGAAACCCCGGGCATCAGCTTCAACACCCCCTCCCTTCATGCCCCCACCTCTCACCCCGCCCACCGTCTGCCAAACCTCTCAGTTCTACCTCCTCTAATCCGTGGGTGCCTTCTGACCCTCCTACAGAGGGAAGCAACGGAAACAGCGGGAGAGTTTTAAGCAGTGTGAGATGTGATTAGACCTTTTTCTTCGTTGTGAATTTTATCACTGGCAGAAAAATGCCAAAAACATCAAGTCTCGTATAATGAATATGTGTAAAGCCAACAGCCATGTACCCATCACCTGGGTGAAGAGACAGCACATTACTGGGACCCCAGAAGCAGCCCCCACCCCCTGTTGTGTGTCCTCCCTCCGTCCCTGGACTTTTATGGTAGTCGCTTTTATCTTTCTTTGTAGTTTTGTCAAGTATCCGTCTTCCCTCCTATGCATGCAGATGGCTGGCTGGAACGGAAGAGAAGGGCCTCTGCACCCCTACCCTGATCCCCTGCCCCCAGAGAGGGATGGAGCTGGGCCCTGGGGGCCGGGGGGTCTGGGCGCTCAGGGAGGGGTCCTGGAAGGGCCTGATCCGACTACCCCAGTCTGGGTTCTCTGGTCCAGACCAGCTGGCCCAAACTTGGCCCCCTCTATGCCACCGGCTCCTCATGGGAGTCAAGACTCTTGGGTGTGCCGTTTTGGGGTCCCACTCACTGCTCCAGGGAGGCCCTCCACTTCCTGGAGAGGGAGGCAGGAGCGGTCGATTTTCCTGGTTCAGCTGGGAAACTGGAGTTAGGATGGGGGACACCCAAGGCCACAGTTCAGAAAATAAGAGGTGGGATCAGCTCTTTGGAGGCAGGGCCCCGTGTCCCTTCTCCCTGTAACAAGTCCCTCTGGAGTCAAGAAGAGGAAGGCTTTGGTGCTCAGAATCCTCCAGCACCCTCAGAGCTCTGAGGAGACGAAGCATAAGAACTTGAACAGGCCACAAGGTGGCGCCAAACACCAAGCCGTCACATTTCTCACTTTTGGACCAGAAAGGGGATCCCTGATGCCCTGAGCAGGCTCTGCCTGGGTCCCAGGCACAGGGCTGAGACCCTCCAAGGGGGACAGGAGAGCCACTGCCCCCAGCCAGACCTTGTAGGGGAGACAGAAGTGGTGCTGGGGAGGGCTCCTCAACTTCCCCCAAACCTGCACCCTTCTCTTACTCCATTTTAGTGTTCTCCTGAGCCAGAAACCTGCCCCCCTGCCCTCCTGCCACACTGTCACATCCTCTTGTGGGAAGGTCTTGTGGAGGAGAGAGGAGGAAACAGGAAAGAAGGAAGGTAGGGATGGAAAAGGCCGCAGGGCCCTGGCCTGGGGTCCAAAGGGGCCACGAGTCTGAGACCAGGGCCAGCACCCGGACCAGGCAGGGCAGAGGGACTCCAGGTCTCCCCTCCTTTTCCCTTTGGTGGCTTGAGGACTCCGTCCTGCTCACTCCCTCTCTCTGTCTTCTTGATGGTCTTAGCAGCATATTTTTGAATACTGTGTCTACTTATGCAAGGCAAACAGAAGAAAAAATAAACAAATGGGACTACATCAGGCTAAAAAGCTTCTGCAAGGCACAGGAAACCATGAACAAAATGAAAAGACAACCCACCAACTGGGAGAAAATATTTGCAAATCATATATCGGACAAGGGGTTAATTTCCAAAATATATAAGGAACTCATACAACTTAACAACAAAAAAACAAACAACTCCATCAAAAAATGGGCAGAGGAGATGAACAGACATTTTTCCAAAGAAGATATACAGATGGCCAACAGGCACATGAAAAGAAGTTCAACATCACTAATCATCAGGTAAATGCAAATCAAAACTACACTAAGATATCACCTTACACCCATTAGAATGGCTATAATCACCAAGACGAAAAATAACAAATGTTGGAGAGGATGTTGAGAAAAGGGAACCCTCATTCACTGCTGGTGGGAATGCAAACTGCTGCAGCCTCTATGGAAAACAGTATGGAGATTTCTCAAAAAATTAAAAATAGAAATGCCATATGATCCAGCTATCCCACTACTGAGTATTTATCCACAGAAATGAAGTCAACAGTACAAAGAGGATTATGTACCCCTATGTTCACTGCAGCATTATTCACAATAGCCAAGACGTGGAAGCAACTCAAGTGCCCATCAACTGATGAATGGATAAAGATGTGGTATATATACAATGGACTACTACTCAGCCATAAAAAAGATAAAATCGTCCCATTTGCAAGAACATGGGTGGACCTTAAGGGTATGATGTTAAGTGAAATAAGCCAGACAAAGAAAGAAGAACACCACATGATTTCACTCATTTGTGGAAGACAAACAAACACATGGATAAAGAGAAGAGATTAGTGGTTACCAGAGGAGAAGGGAGTTGGGGGGTGGGCATAAGGGGTAAAGGGGCACATACGTATAGTGACAGATAAAAACTAGACTATTGGTGGTGAACAAGATGCAGTCTATGCAGAAACTGATGTATAATAATCCTTCTTGGGGTGGGATGAAACCAAAGCTGACGCCGTCATGGTGGCCATCAGGCCGGGGCCGCATCAGCCGAGGAGCAGTGGAGGAGGCTGAGGGCTAGGCTGCCCTGTGGCCGTGATGAGCAGCCTGGGCCCGGGCCCGCCTTCCTTCTCCCACTCACACCCCTCCCCGCGGAGATTATCTCAGCCTGGTCTCCGCAGCCTGAGTGCCCTCCTCCCAGCGAGGTCATCGCAGCCTGGGCTGGACGTCTCCCTCCACCCGGAGCCATGGATGCCGCTCTGCTCCTGAACGTGGAAGGGGTCAAGAAAACCATTCTGCACGGGGGCACAGGGGACCTCCCAAACTTCATCACTGGATCCCGAGTGAGTGAGGCCTGCCCCCTGAGACCAGACAGGGGTTCCCATGTGGCCTTCTGCATTCCAGCTGTGCCAAGTGGCCCCACAAACAGCCTTCGGCTTTGTCAGCCCTTCCTGGAATTATCAATCCCGGGGCATCTGGGAAGCTCTGAATTGATGCCCATTTGCCCGGCATTTTTGATACTTTGCAAATTAAACTTCAGCGTGGGGTGGGGGGAGGGCTTTGGGAATTTTCTGGAGCCCCAAATGTTGACTGAGAAGGAAGGGCCCTCAGAGGTCATGGTGTTTGTCCACAAATCTCTGGTGGGCGTCTCTGGATGATGGAGTGGCTGGGTCTGTGGCCTCAGATCTAGGGCTTATTTAAGGAAGGACTTCCTGACCTGCTGAGTTGTTGAGGGTGAGATGGGGTCCTTTAGGAGGGAGTGGGTCCCTTGTCCCTGGGAGAGTGCAGGCAGTGGGGGATGCTCTGGGGGTCTGAGGCTTCTGATTGGGGTTGGGTGGGCTGAGCCCTGAAGGCAGCCCTGGGAGTCAGTGACAGGGGGTGGCTTCTGCCGGGCCTTGCCGAGTGTGTCCAGACCAGAGTCCCCTCTCTTGATGACCAGGTGACCTTTCATTTCCGCACCACAAAATGCGACGAGGAGCGGACGATGATAGACGACAGCAAGCAGGTGGGCCAGCCAATGCACATCATCATCGGGAACATGTTCAAGCTGGAGGTCTGGGAGATCCTGCTGACGTCCATGCGGGTCAGCGAGGTGGCCGAGTTCTGGTGTGACACCATCGTAAGTAGGCCTTCTACAGGGCCCACCCACCCACTCTGCAGGGCTGCTGCGTTTCAGCCAAGTGCGGGTAGAACAAAACTCTGCAAGGCGCATCTTGCATCCTCATCCCTGCCCCTGTAAGATGGAGATGGGCTCACCCAGAAGAACAAGCCCCTGAAGTGACCATCCGTGTCGTGGCTGGCTGGTGGGGTGTGGGAGCCTGGTGGGAGGGAGCCTGCCCGCCTCACAGTCCTCACTCTTTGTGCAGGATTATTAGATCCTGAAGACTGTTGGCCACTGGTCACTTTTCTTCCTTCCTCCTCACTCCTACCAACATTGCAAAGTTGTTTTCACGTTGATGGCACTCTTACAAATCCCCCGTACAAGTTAGCCTCCTTGTGCTGTGGCCCAGATAGAAATGGCAACACTCACTGACCCTTAAACAAACATTTCTTATGGAAACTTTCAAACATATACGAAAGTCGACAAAAGTGTACCGAAATTCCAAGTACCCATCACCCAATGCCGGCCACGATCGACTCGTGGCCACTCTCCTTTCATCTGCCCCCGTCCACTCCCTTCCTCAGCCCACATGGTTAAAGCACATTCCAGATACCATGTAGTTTCAACTGTAAATACTAAAATTTGTATCTCTAAGAAGAAGGGAATTAAAAAATCATAAACTCAATATCATTATTACATCCTTTAAAAACACCAATAATTTCTTAATACCAACTCATATCCAGTCACCGTTCAGATTTCTCCAGTTGCCTCGTTTATTCTGTATGGTTGGTTTGTTTAAATCAGGACCTGAAGTCCGTGCACGGTGCTTTGTTGATATGTCTCTCAAGTCTCTTGTTATCTAGTCTTCTCCTCCCTCGTTTTTTCCTTGATGTGGTTTTGTTGAAGGAGCTGGGTCACTCGTTCTGTAGAAGTTCCCACACTCTGATTTTGTTGGTTGCTTCACCATGGAATTGTCTAACATGTTCCTCTATCCCCACATTTCCCATACAGGGTGCTGTGTACTTCCCATTGGGAGACACTCCACCTCTGCTCACCTCTCTTCTTGTGGTGTTAGGATTGGTGGATGGGCTCAAGTGTTGTCAATCCAGCCACTACGAATTTTAGGGACTAATTCCCTTGTTTTACTGATGAGGAAATCTAAGACTCAGAGTTACTCTGGGTCAAATAAGTTAACGGACAGGATGAGGGTGGGGTCCCTGGTCCCCTCACTCCTTGTCAAGTGTCTGTTTTGTGTTACATTGTCTAACAGAGTCAGGCTGCAATGCTGTCTCTACCCCTAGGGTATCCCATCCAACGCGTTACTCATTTCTTCATTCCCTTCGCAAATACTAGTTGAGCATCCTTCCTTTGTATCAGTCCCTGTCATTCTTTATCTTGATGTTTTGAATTTTTAAAAGGATGTTTTATTTTTAACCATCCAAGTCTTCAGAATATCGGATTCTTTGCAGTTTCAGTTAGTTTAAAATGACATCTATTGACTTTGCTTACAATGAGGAGCTTCTGCAATTTTTAGACCCATATGGACCTGTAACTTGGGCCATATGTTAGGCAAGGCTTGGTCGTCAACATGGCCCCCTTCTCCACAGGATGCATATTGGCTAACGCAGGAGAGCTGTGTGCATAGAGTGCTGTCAATAAATTCTTCATTGGTTGATTGATTTGTTGTTTGCAAAACCGCAAGCTGCTGTTATTCCCGTGATGTGGGCATGACTCTTGGTTTCCTGTGGTGTCTGTGTTTTTTGACCACGTCAGTAGTCACATGAGTGCACTGCCCATCTCACAGGCTGGTAACTTTTATGGCACAGTGACTGCTGGTTTTTCCAATAGCCCCCCACATCTCCTCCCAGCCCACAGTTGCCATGATTGCGCACACACACACACACTTTCCAGAGTCATTTATCTCCCTACATATCCACCTTTTATCCATCCTTCTATCCATCCATGCACCGAGGCATCAATTCATCCATCCTTCCCTTCAACCAATATTATTGATAATCCAGTCTTCCATCACTAAGCATCTGCCCATCATCTATCTGTCTGTCTGTATATCTATCTATCTATCTATCTATCTATCTATCTATCTATCTATCTACCTACCTACCTTTTTATCTATCTGAAAACATTTACTGGGCCTGTGCTGGGTGTCAGGAATGAAACAAAGTCCCCATCCCTCAAGGAGCTTAAATACTAGAGGAGGAGCAGATACCTAAACAATTACAATGCAGGGCCGCCAGTGCCTTGACATAAGTTAAGTGAGAACAGAGTGCTTTAGGGCCACAGGAGAGGGGCAACTAACTGCTTTAGGGTCTGAAGGGAGATTTCTTCATGACGATGACATTGAGCTGGGTCTTGAAGGATGAATAGGAGTTCGCCAGGCCTAGAAATGGGGGAGAGGTAGCATCCAGGCCAGGAAGTGTGAAAAGGCTTGGCATGTTTCATTTAATTAGCCCCTTCTCCTCTATGGGGCATCTCTCCACTTGACAATCTGAGCTCTGGAAAGACTAAGCCATCAGTTGGACAACTAGGTCTATTTGACAAAGGACTTAGGAGGGCCTGGCTTCCCCCAGTGCTTGCTGCTCGTCACTCCCTGCAGAGCCCTCTGCCTGGACAGTCTTCCCTGGATTACCTTCAAGTTTAGGTCTCTGCAGGGCAGGGGGATTCCTCCCCCCTTCCCCTCCCATCTAAACCAGGGAGGCAGGGCCTGTCAGATGCTCTGGGAGCTTCTGCCCTGAAATGCACTCCTTGTCGTCCCCCACTCTCCCCAGAGAGGACACTGGTCTCTTTGTGGGAGTTTTTGCAGGTGCCCAGTCCTGTGAGGCCAGGGGTTGCAAACTCAAGTTTCACAAAGAGCCAAGAACCCTGGTCGACTGGAGATCATCTGCTCCATCTAAGGGGGGCAGCTGCTCCATCCACGGGTGGCTGCCATGTGAGAGGGGAGGCTAGGGGTGGCTGGATGTTCGGAGTTTTTGAGACAAGCCAGAAATCTTCGTTAGCATGCGAACTTTTTCACTGTTTAAATGTTGGCAACTAATAAACAAAAAACCCCACGATATGATGGATAAAACAAAACCAGCCTACAGCACGCTGGTCTGCAACCTCCAGTATGGACACAGAACCAGGCTCTGGCCTTGACGCCCCAGAGGGGGGCAGTGGTCCGAGTCTCCCCCTGCCCCTGTCACAGCCCCAGTGGGCTGAGTGAGTCCCTAGGGCTGGAGTCTAGCTCCGCAGAGACCCACGTGTGACTTTGGCTGCCCCACCGGCATGTAGCCAGGCAAGTGGGGCTCAAGAGCAGGCACAGAGCCGAGATCTGCACACCCCTTCCTCCTTCTGAGGTGCTGCCTGGGGGATGCGGGACTCTGGAGCTCTGCCCCTTCCCCTGGCCTTCCTCCTCCTTCCCGGGATTTCTTCCCGCTCCTGCCAGCATCCACAGCCCACCATGCTGACCAGGCCCCTGGTGGCACCGGGGTGGCAGGTGTCTAGCAGGGCAAGGCCTGTGTCTGAGGTCACGCCCAAGCAGCTGCCTGGCCCAGGGGTCCACAGCTCACAGTCGACTTGCTGGGAGGCAGGGGCCCGCTGAGCTGGGGGCTGCCGTGTCGGGGCCAGGAGTGCACCCCCTGCAGCAGGCTGTCCTGGGGGCCTCTCCCTCCCTCAGTCCAGCCTTAATCCCCACAGGCTTAAGTGCCATCTGGTCGTCTCTCTCACAAAGAAGCTAAGGGCATTCGGGGCTAATCCTGGCTGGTGGGGGTGACCTTCATGCCCATGCTGGTGACTTGGAGGCCGAGCTGAACCGTTTCTGCCCTTCACATTCCCAGTGGCGTGTCTTTACTGGAGCTGCTGTGCGGGAGCCTGAGATGGGCCAGCCCAGGACCCAGCCCCAGGAGAGGGCTTCTCAGAGACCGTCTGTGGGGCTTCCCAGCTCACAGATGGGGAAGTGAGGCCCAGCATGGCACAGGCCTGGCCTGAGGCCACCTGGCTGATTCCCCCAGCCCTCCTCCGCCCGAGGGCGGCAATCCCAGCTTCCAGTGCCAGGTGCGGCTGTGATGAGCCAGACTTGTAACCCCACCATCTCATTTAACCCCACAACGGCCCGACTCCTGGACAGGTGCAGCAGAGGGGACCGGAGCTCAGGGAGGGGCGGGGACCTTGGCTCACCGCTAATCAGCAGCACCCTCAGGATGCCAACCTGGCCCTCTTGGACCCCGGCACCCTGCTTCTTCTACTGTTCTCCACACTCCCCTCCCTGTGAGTCACAGGATTTAGGGTCTCCTTGGGAGAGAAACGTGTTGGAGTCAACTACAAGGGCCAGAAAGAGGCAGTGTGGCACTGTGGCTGGAGTGTGGCCTCCAGAGCTGGGTTTGAATTCTGGCTCCATCATTTCCTAGCTGTGTGACCTTAAGCAAGTTACACAACCTCTCTGGGCTCTGATTTCCTCATCTGTAAAATGGGGATAATAGTAACGCCTCCCTTGTGGGGTCAGCTCAAGGACTGAAGGAGCTAACAGATTGGAGCACTTTGCCCGGCACACAGTTACCCTCAGTTATTAGTGGGGGTGTGTTGGGGGCAATACGTAGCGATAGCCATGGGGCAGGCGTGGTGGGGTCGCAGGATTCCTGCTGTGGGGGCTCAGAGTGGGGGCTCTTTGTGGCCCAGCTAGCCCGGTGCGGACAGCCCAGACGCCATCTGTCCATCCTTCCCCACAGCACACAGGGGTCTACCCCATCCTGTCGCGGAGCCTGCGGCAGCTGGCGGAAGGCAAGGACCCCACGGAGTGGCATGTGCACACGTGCGGTCTGGCCAACATGTTCGCCTACCACACGCTGGGCTATGAGGACCTGGATGAGCTGCAGAAGGAGCCGCAGCCCCTGATCTTCGTGATCGAGCTGCTGCAGGTGTGCCCCTGGGCGCGGGGGTGGGGTGGGGGAGGGCTGTGCCAGCATCAGAGAGCCGCTGGGGTCAGCGGGCATCACAGGGAGCCCCTCCCCCCCGGTCACTGGACGTCACCCAGTTTCTCTTTAGAGAACAAGAGAAGGCTCGTAAACCACAGGAGAACTGGAATTCCCCCCCACTCCCCAAAAGTCCTCTGCCTTTTCCAAGGGAAAAGCCCATTTGGGACCAATTTTTTAAAATGTCATTTATTTTCATTTGGGAGGCATTTTACTTCTACTCATTATCTACTTCCATTTTTGTTCACAAAACTTTAGAATTACATCCTCATGCCCAGTCCCTGTGGTTTGTGTGTTCAGACCTGGTTCTCCAAGAGTGGGAGAGGCTGCATGGAACTCTCCATCCTTCTCACTCAGACCCCAGAGTGACTGATGTTTGGGGGGTGGTGGGAGAGGGGCCAGCCCGGGTCAGGACTCAGCTTATGCCCAAGGATGAGGTTCAGCCTGAGGGCTACGTGAGTGAATACAAATAAACAAGAGAACTGTGTCAACAAAGGGCCTTTATGGCCCTGCTGGAAGAGTTGTGCGGTGTGTACACTGCACAATGGCATCACCTCTAAGGTGCTCATTATAGACGGTGCGTATTTGTACATTTTGTACAGTTTTCCAGCAGATGGCAATAACGTGTCTTGCTCTCACAGAATGAGTATCATGACAAGGCTGCGACTATTGGAAGTGAAGTGTGTTGACAAAGGGGTGCCTTTCCTAATTTGCACAAAGGTGCTGATTTAGGGTAGGGCCCTGGGGGCCCCACAAATAGTTACATGTATTCCACCAGCAAGCACGATTCGGCAGCAGAAGCTCACTGCGGAAAATGCAGCGCTGACTTCAGTGAGGCGGGCCGGGGTCCCCTTTCTCTGGCCCCCACCTACTGGGGTGCGGGCCCCGGGGTCCCCGCCTCCCTGACCTGCAGCTTTGGGCCAGGTCGAGGCCCCGAGCGAGTACCAGAGGGAGACGTGGAACCTGAGTAACAACGAGAAGATGCAGGCAGTGCCCGTCCTGCACGGGGAAGGAAACCGGCTCTTCAAGCTGGGCCGCTACGAAGCGGCCTCGGCCAAGTACCAGGAGGCCATCGTCTGCCTGAGGAACCTGCAGACCAAGGTGGGGCCGCCCGCCGCGAGGGGGCGCTGTGAGGGGAGCAGCCCTGCCCGGCCAGGGCCGCTGCGGGGTGGGGGCGCCCTGAGCTCTCGGCCGACCCTTGTCTGCCGGGCAGGAGAAGCCGTGGGAGGTGCAGTGGCTGAAGCTGGAGAAGATGATCAACACCCTCATCCTCAACTACTGCCAGTGCCTGCTGAAGAAGGAGGAGTACTACGAGGTGCTGGAGCACACGGGCGACATCCTCCGGCACCACCCAGGTGGGCGGGGGTGGGGGTGGGGGCGGGGTCTCACCGGGCCTCAGAGTCACCCCCCCGCCCCGTGCCCTTCTCCTCTGACCTGACAAGGCACCAAACCCTGCCTCCGCCCGGCAGGGTATCCCCGCGCCTGGATGCGGATCCCGGTGAGGGATGAGCGGTGCTGGTCGTGGGAGGTGTTCTATTTCAATGTCCATTAGGACGGATGTGTCAGTAGCTCACCAAACCTGTGATTGCCTGGAGAGTACAGGTTTTTTAAAAAAGGGGGGCAATCAATATAGAGAACAGTGTTAGAACATACTGGTGTCTGTGATGCGTGGATGTGGCAATATTTGTGAAGATGGTATCCGAATAAGATTCACAACAACATCAAATCTGCATTTGTCATTCACTTAATCCTCATAGTAACCATCTGGGACAGGTGCAGGGATAGGGCCCGAAGCTTCCACCATTTGGGGAGGCTCTATAAGAAAAAGAATAAAAGTTATGAATATAAAACGAGCTATAGGGCCTTGGAAGGCTCCCTGCAAGGGAGGGGAGCAGATACTGCTGTTATTATTATCAGCCCGGTTTTGCAGTCGAGGAGCCGGCTCAGGAGGTACAGCGAGGTTAAGGATCATGGTCAAGGTTAAGGGTTTTGTCAGCGGGGAAGGCCCTGCCGGTGGGGGCTGCCTCTGGGGCTGGACCCACCGCCCAGCCCCGTCCTCCCCGCAGGCATCGTGAAGGCCTACTACCTGCGGGCCCGGGCTCACGCGGAGGTGTGGAACGAGGCGGAGGCCAAGGCGGACCTGGAGAAAGTGCTGGAACTGGAGCCGTCCATGCGGAAGGTGGTGCACAGGGAGCTGAGGCTGCTGGAGAGCCGCCTGGAGGAGAAGCGCGAGGAGGAGCGGCTGCGCTGCAGGAACATGCTGGGCTAGGGGGCAGGCCTCCCCGGCCTCCTCTGTCCCCCCTTGCTCTCCCTGCCCTCCCCATCCTCCCCGTCCTCCCTGCCTGCCACCCCGGCACCCGCCAGTGCACAGACCCCGCTGCACCCACCAGACAGCGGGCACCAGGCAGCCAGCAGTTGGCCTGGCCATTTCTGGTTCAGTTGGCCAGGATTTCAGTGTCACTTTTTAAAATTTAAAATTAATTTATTAAATCAAAATAATACATGCCCATGGTAAGGAAAAAAAAAAACAAAAACCCCAAAAGGGCACAGAAGAGCTTGTGAATAAAAGTGAAGTTTCTTGCCCTACCTCTCCCATTCCTTAGCCCAGAGCTGCCAGTTTGAATTGACTCTGGTTTTTACTCTTTTGGTAGTTTTCTCAATCACCAAAGAATATATTTAAATCACAGTTTCTCCATGTGTCATTTTTACCCCATGTCAAGGAAAAATGAGGATTTATTTAATGCTTTGACGCTTCCTATTCTCTTCCTTCTCCTGCTCCCAATTTTGGATAGTGATATTTTTGGTTCTTGGCTTGGTTATTTTTGTAACTTTGTACAGTTCATCTAGAAATCTCTATTCTATTGACGTGCATCGGTTCAGTGACTCTTCTGTGTAGGATGATGGTGGCAGCGCTGGGACCCCTCCCTCCATCTCCCACCTCCTCCCACCTAACGATCTGATGTATGTTTACTTTTCCATCACCCCATCTTTTTCTGCTTGTAACCAAAATTAAGTCTTCTGTGCTTTATCCATAGGTTGACCCTAAAATTTGAAAATCAATAAACAGCATGTACACGATTATGGCCGCGTGAGTACATTTCCCTGCGGTCGCTGCATGGAGCTGGGATTGCGTTTATTTTTCTGTGTTTCCTAATTCATGACCCCGGGGCTGCCAGATGAGGATTTTCCTGGCATCAGGAGTGGCAGTGTATATTTTAACGTGGGAGTGTTTTATTTTTTCTCTTCTTCCCTTCTTTTGCGGCACGAGGAGATTCGAGGTTTACGCCCTCCCACCATGGAGGAAAGAGGGTTAATTTTTGGTTGATTCACGCTCTGTGTGTAATGGGCCATCCAGGTATATCGTGAGAACTGGGAGGAGATTTTAGAGGTCAAAGGAAGGGGACACTGTGAGTGCAGAAGCAGGAAGGGAGGAGGGTCCCGAGGCTGGAAAGAGTGCCCTGAACTGGAGACCCTGGAGCAGGGGGAGGCTGAGGGAGGCGAGCAGAGGGTCCCCTCACCTCTCCCGACTGCCCGGGGAGAGAGGCTTGGACGGTGTCTGAGCAGTCAGCGGCTCAAGTGTGGCTCAGAAGCAGATAAAGAACTTGGCTGGGGGCATCATTTGAGGACCAGGAACTACGGCCCACAGACTTCCCAGCCTCCGTTGTCCCGTCCATTTCCGTATGCAGCATTCCACCGGCTGCCCCTTTTCCTGGGGACAGTGAGGATCTCACTGCATCTCCAGTCCCTCCAGCAGGACTGATGCCCGAATGTGTCCCAGGACCCTGTGTGGTCCTGTCCAACTCATCCTGTGTGGAAGTTTCCCCTCCTGATGCCCCAGGACATTTGCAAGCCCAAGAGAAATGAGAGGTGGGGGCCAGGACCCTGAGGAGTGTGGGGACACCCTGGCATAGCACTTGAGGGGGTGTTGGACTGAAACAGCTGGGGATGCCCTGTCCTCCCCCAAGCTGGAGCAGTCGAAGGACATTTCTGTTACAAAGGCCCCAGGAGTTCCTTCTTACCCGCCTCGTCCAGTGGATTAAAGTCAAGCTGCGTTTGGTTCATGGCTTTCTTGGCCAGCGTTCCCCTAGCCTCACCTGGCCCAGCGTTTCTAATTGCCTCTCTTTTCTGTGGGGGACGCAGAGCATAATGTGCCTTTGACATACCCTCAGGTTTACACAGCCTCTTCATCACGGTACTGCACCGTCTCTCTTCTCTTCCTGGAGGCAGCCCTCTTGGAGCCTTCCCGGTGGACTTCTGGTCATTTCTGCTTTGTCAACCACGCTTCTTACTTATTTGTGTGCTTCTGTTGTGTGAATTTGTGTGTGTGTGTGAGAGAGAGAGCAGGGACACCTCATCCTATTGTACTATCATCCAGAGGCAGAGAATGGGACAACAGACCACTTTTCAGAAACCGTGGTATCTCAGACCCCACCTCACTAGTTCAGAGGAGGCGGGATGTGGGGATGGGGAGAGCCGCCCCAGGGCCCCACAGCGGTCAGCCTCCCCATCCAGGCCTCTGGTCCCTGCACGGGCTTCCTTGTGGGCCTTGACAACAGCTCCCAGGAGGTCCTGGGGGGATGGACGCAGGAGGTGCAGGGAGCATCTCCTGAGGGTTCCTTTCAAGGGATCCAGTTGGAAGCCTTTGTTTGAAGCGGCCAGCAGGGGGCAGCAGAGAACAAGCGGATTGTGGTCCGTGGGCCAGGAGCTGAGGTTCTGGGGGACCTCCCAGAGAAAGCTCTGTTCTCCGGACATGGTGGCTCTCCACCAGCCCTGACCCCCTACTCTACAGGCTCAGGCTGGCTGGCGACAGGGAAGCATGTGTTTAGAATCATGGAATCAGAATGCTGGTAGACTAGGGCCTCAGTCCTGTCTCCTTATACAGATGGGGAAACTGAGGCTCAGAGAAGGGCACTAACCTTCTAGACCCCACTTCAAGGCTGGAGTAGACCCAGGATTAGCATACAAGTTTCCAGACTTCTGGGCTGGGGCTTTTTGTGCCACGTTGTGCTGCCTCCCTCACCAGACAGTCCATACATGGGTGTGATGTATTACAAAAAAAAGGAAAGGAGAAGGTATGAAACTTCTATTAGGGAGCAGCCCAGAGCATGTCCGGAGCCTTTGTTTTGGAGCAGCTAGAGGGGTTAACATGATAGGGGCCTGTGTGGGCTTCACAGCCCCTCGGGCCTGCTCTCTCCCTCTGAGAATCATGACCGGTTCACCTGGGCATTTGCTCCCGGGTGTGAGCCACCCTTCTGACCTCTGTCCAGCTGAACTTGACATGGACCCCACGACCAGAGAGTGATTTGGGAGGGTATCAGGGGGCTGGGTGGCCAGAGGGACCCCATGGGTATTGTGCAGGTACGTTCGTTTCCTGTTGCTGCTGTAGCGAATTACCACAGACTAATAAAACAGCACAAATTTATTCTGTTACAATTCTGGAGGTCAGGAGTCCTGAAATGGGTGGGCAGGGCCCTAGGGGAGAATCAGCTTCCTTACCTTTTCCAGCTTCTAGCGGCCACTTGCATTCCTTGGCTTGTGGCCCCATCCTCAAAGCCAGCAGTGTACCATCTTCCAGTCTCTCTGCGTCCCTGTACTTCTGTCATCACATCCCCTCTGAGCGTTTGTGACCCTCCTGCCTCCCTCTTCTAAGCACCTTGTGAATGCATTGGGCTCACCTGAAGAATCCAAGATCATCTCCTCACCTGAAGATCCTTAACTTAACCACATGTGCAAAGTCCCTTTTGCCATGAAGGTAACCTGTTCACAGGATTTGGAGATTAGGGTGTGGGCGTCTTTGGGGGCCATTACCACAGCCAGTTAGTCTCCGTTTGTCCCCAGATCTGTTCTCTGGCCTGCTCTGTCCCCTGAGAGGCTCAACATGCCAATGTATCCCGGCCCCCTGGCCCTCTGGCCTGCAGTTGGGTTTGGCCACAGGAGGCCCCAGCAGGAGGTCTGTGTGGGAGGAGAGAAGGCTGGGCCTTTGTTCCTCACCTCCCTCCTGGCTGGGCTGGGGTTTGGCAGGAGCTGTGCTCTTTGACCTGTGGTCACAATTGAGGTCAGGCAGTCCTTCCAGGCCACAGCTCTCCCTGCCCCCAGAGCAGCGGGGCCTCCCTGGGCCCTTCAGGCCTGAGTGTGGCAATGTTTCCACCCCCGCTAGTCCCGGTGCTCCCCGTTCCTTCATTCCCTCCACCCCACGTGCACCTGCATTCAGCTCTCTGCAGCCGCAGCTTTGAGTGGCTCCTGTTTTCCATCAAGCCCTGCTGGTCAGGTATGAAGTCTCCTCCAGAAGGGACTGCATTCAGGCCCAGATGCTGCAAGTGGGGGCTAGAGCCAGCATTTTCCTGCCCCACTGGGGCACAGCCCCCTCTCAGGAGGTGAGGATGCCTTCAGCCGCAGGACCGCCTGTCATGAGAAGGGCTCGGCCAGAAGTGACACCTAAGGGGTTGATGTGCATCCTGAGGGGGACATGGCAAAGGGGTATAGCACATGCCCAGTTACTGCTTGTCACAGGACAAGCCACCTCCTTGCCCACAGGAAATGGCCAGGTCACATCAGTCAGTGGCGTTTAGCCAACAGTTCAACCTTCAACAGCACAGGCTCTGCGGGTGGCTTGGCGGGAGCCCTGGGGACTGACACGGCACCCCTTCTCTGCTTCATGGCGGGCAGCGTTAGCGCCACTTGGCAGAGGAGCCTCAGCTCGGGGGACGCGGCTCACCTGGGTCACACAGCTGTGAGTGCCCGAGCTGGAGCTGACACACATGGCCTGGATCCAAAGCTCGGACACTTTCACCCGCACGTCTAGTGCTCAGTAAGCGGCAAAGGCAAGGGTGACTAAACCAAATAGAGCAGAGCTGGCGTTTCTTTTGATTTCCTGCAAGGCCATTGCTCCTGTGGGGCCCTGGCAGCAGGTGTGGGTGGAGAGAGCCCGGGGCGAGGATCCACCTGGGCCTTCCCTGGCTCCTGAATTCCCCCAAGTAACAGATCCTCCGTGGAAAGTGCGGGGGCCCCGGCCTCCCCGTGTCACCTGTGATGACATGGCAGTCCAGGTTTGGGACTCTGGACGCCTGGTTTTCACTCTTCCTGCCTGAGCCTGTCGAGTCTCGTACCAGAGACCCAGTCTTGGATTTCTCCTGATTGAATGGTTGGGTGAGGGGCCATCTTGATGGCTCCAGGTACCTGCCGTGCGAGGAGGGGCTGGTCCTGCTCCCCCTCTTTGCCCAGCCCTCCCCTCTCGGGGCTTTCACAGTAAGGTTAGGTAAAGCGCCATTCTTATTTATGGTGGT